GTGTAGTTCTGGGCTGATTCCTCAACGTTCTCATGATCATTGCAACTTCATGAGGCGAGATCTTGCATGGAGCCCCAGGCCGAGGGAGATTGACAGTTCTTTTGTGTTTCTCCCATTTGCGAATAATCGCACCAACTGTGGTCACCTTCCCACCAAGCTGCTTGGTAATGGTCTTGTAGCCCATTCCAGCCTTGTGTAGGTCTACAATCTTGTCCCTGACATCCTTGGAGAGCTCTTTGGTCTTGGTCATGGTGGAGAGTTTGGAATCTGATTGATTGATTGCTTCTGTGGACAGGTGTATTTTATAAAGGTAACAAGCTGAGATTAGGAACACTCCCTTTAAGAGTGCGCTCCTAATCCCAGCTCGTTACCTGTATAAAAGACACCTGGGATCCATAAATCTTTCTGATTGAGAGGGGGTTTTGCCACCAAGTACTAAGTCATGTTTTGCAGAGGGGTCAAATACGTATTTCCCTCATTAAAATGCAAATCATTTTATAACATTTTTGACATGCGTTTTTCTGGATTTTTGTGTTGTTATTCTGTCTCTCACTGTTCAAATAAACCTACCATTAAAATTATAGACCGATAATTTCTTTATCAGTGGGCAAACGTACAAAATCAGCAGGGGATCAAGTACTTTTTTTCCCTCACTGTATGGGCACATTTTTGGTGTCTATTTGTTTGTGTTTCTCCCTTGTGATGGGACTTTGTAGGGTGAACGTTGAGATTTATAAGGGCCCGGGGTGACCAATAAGGTCTGAATTGGTCTGTAATACGGTAGGGCACTGATAATGGGTTGACAGGTCTGTGCAGAGATGAGACGAAGCAACACGGGCAGAACAGATCAACACCAGCCATCCCGGAGAACTAGGGAGGCTGCGGTTGATGGGTCCCTCCCTGCTTAAGTGTCAGCCCCCCTTACCAAGTCTTATGTTTGCCCTCCGCATCGCCGTGGATAGGAGCAGTTCTGTACATTCTAGGCCTGACTCGCTCACAATCAGGAATGGTTGATTTCGCATTGGAAAAAAAAGACAACAATTGTCGGGACGATTCGCTAACACCAGCCGCATGTTTTTTTTTATATTTCAATGCTCTCGCCAAATGCACTCGATTCGCTGCGCTATCCTCCTTCTCATTCACAAGTTCCACTTTTGATGACGAGGGGCAACCCCGTCTGCAGTAGTCGCAGGGGGCAGCGCGGTGCACAAAAATGAGCGCAATTGGTCAGAATTAGAATACGCATTTGTCCTGGGGGAATCCGATGAGCCATGAAGCGCTTTTTCTATGGCCTCTTCCCTCACTCGCAGGGAGTGAGAGCCACGGCAGAACACCAGCACCGGGATCCTGCGTCAATAAACAGACAGTGCAGGTGTTCCTAAATGTTTGTGTGCATGCAATTGCGAGTAAGTTATGAGATGTCTTTGTATTTTCATTGCATACAAAAGCAGCCCCTTTGTCACGACGCGACTGGGCATGGGCCGAGTTTGCGGGGGTTGGGGGGCGGACAGTACCCCCCCCCCCACCAAACCTGACACCTTTATTAAAGCAGTTTACATTTAAGATTTTAAGTAAATTAATTATATGCACTCGCGATTCCTAATGTGATGGACAAAGTGAACCCCTGCCCTGACCCCCTCCAAATATAGAAGTCAAACTCCGCCTATGCTGCTGGGTGAAGGTCTCCCCACATCGTGTCAGACGATGGGGTTGTTTGACCATACTTCACCACACTGGCCAGCGCAAATTAATCACGGAGCACCCAGAACTTGCGTCGGATATCGCCTCCCGCTGTCGTAACCTTTGGACAGGAGTCACAGTCGGTTCGCAGCGAGCCAATGATTATGCCACCGCTCCACCCATCCATTTTATTTCTTATTTATCAGACAAATTGTCAACGTTTTGTGGTTGGCTTTTTGCCCTTCATTATCTTCACGACAAGACCGAACCGAGCGTTGCGTATGCATCAGAGACTCGTCATTTTGGAACACTTTATTGTAAAGTTACAATTGGCACTTGACTTAAACATCCCCAGCCAAAACACCGACCCCACCCAAGGAGAAAATTGTTGCGAAAAAAAACCCCCATTTTCCTCGAGGCTGTTTTGTGGTGTGCTGGTCAGTATTCTCATCGCTGGGTCAGGAGTGCTTCGATAGTTGAAGGTTCAGTTTCTTTCACCGCCCAGTAAACGTGTACAGTGTGAAAACTGGTGGAAAAGTGGACGTTAAAGACCAAATGGCTTGCGTAAAATAGTATACACCGCTGTTATTTAAATATCACACACAATGGAACGTAAGAAAGTATATAATACATATCACTAGTTAGTGTCCCCCGACTTGAATGACCGATGTGGTCATATTAATTTTGAGGCGGTGAGTCAGCGGTAGAAATTCCACATTCCCATCTTCTTCTTTCGTATGACTCATGGAGACGCAGAGCATCAACTGCCATTTCACATTCAGGTGGTCAAGCCAGATAACGCTGTCATGTCTCCACATTTGTGGATCGGGCATTGCGTTGTTATATGGTGTATGGTTTGCTCTGGAGTGGAAGATGGCAGCCTTCACAAGGCAGGGGATGTTGACTTCACACTAAGTGATACTCATTTCATTGACCGCAGAGGTATGTAGTTGTTGTTTTAGTGCGCTGCGGTGGCGAGATGTTAACTACCTTCCTGGTATACAGGAGGTCGTCGGTTCGATCCCGACGCTGACACCTGCTGTATATAATAGGAGTGTGCGTGTTCTCCCCGTGGTCGCGTGGATTTTTACCGGGGTCCTCCGGTTTTTCCCTCCACATTTAGAAACGTGCGTTCAGAGTGTTTGGCTGCTGTGCATTTCAACACGATAAGCCACTTCGTTGAGCTATCATTTGTGGCCAGGTCGCTTCTGAAAAATAGCTATATAGCTCAGTGGGCCTTAACTGATAAAATAAATAAAAGGGGATATATATTAGTTTTGATATAAACTCACACCTGTGAGCACTCTCATGCACTTATCACACTTAGTAAACATGCATTGTGCAATTACCTCATGGGTTTAACGAACATACGTAGGTAAAATTACGTTGAACAATACTGCAGAGAGGCCAGTATCTTGTTTCAGCTCCGCCCTTCTTTCAGCTTTTTGGTCACCTGGCTTCTGTGTGCACAGCACCCAGGCTCGCAGTTGCTGAAGACTTTTAGGTCCTCGCCGATGGACCCAGCACATATTAAAGAAGGAATTCTCTCTCCAGTTATCGATTTTATCTCTTTCGGTTAAAAGAAATATATTTATCTCAGGTTACTTCTCAGTTCGTTGCCTCCTTTACAAGCATGGCGCTCTGAGATCGCATTATTTAAGGGCACCTTGAAAAAATATTGTGAAAAGAGAGTTCAATACTTGGTGAGGCTGATTGCTTTAGGTAAACACGTCAAAATGTGAGCCACGCCTCTTGCAAACATTTTTTTTCCTAAAATAATAATAGCATGCAGAACCGTGGGCATCGATGTTTATATATAGTACTACACTGCTATGCTTGAATGTTTCATGCTGTGTACAGGTGAGCTGTGTTGGGCACAGGTGAGCTGTATTGAGCATAGGTGAGCTGCGTTGGGCACAGGTGGGCTGTGTTGGGCGACTTTGTGTTGTCTGGGTGTGGTCTGAGAATGTTGTTGCTGTTTTGTTGCCTTGCCTCTAGCTTGCCTTCGGTGTTGACAAATCGCCAGGAAGTTCTAAACGTGTGCAATTTATACTTACATAATTAATATGTACATATTAATTTTAGCAACTTGATTTACTCTGCCCCTACATTTGCACTTGTTTCGTCATTTTTTCGCATTGTTTGATTATCTAACTCGCGTCATAGCTCATCCGGATTCCACCTCCAGGATGAATACACATCCAGATTCTGATAAAGATCGTGGTGCTAAACATACCAGTCACCGATTGATGAGATTAAGCTTGAGACGGACGTCACAAAGCAGGCTCACATCGTCCACCCTCCCTGCTGGTGAATGGTTTGTGCCGCCACGCCCACTCACCTGGTGTACCGTCAAGGAGCAAAAATCATCACGCGTAACTCCGGTCATGTACGCAGCAGCAGCGGCGGCGGCGGCGGCGGCTTTTGGCTAAACCATCGAACAGAAAAGACGGTCACCACTTTCCGATGCGCTTCTGCGGCCGTCTGGAACCGCTCTTGCTTCCGATGTTAGGACGCCGCTGGAGCTATGCACTTTTAAATCATCATCTAGCTTGAAAACTAATTTCTTTAGACCTGCTTTGTGTGTTTAGTTTGTCGTCCTTCCCCCGCACCTCCGATCAGCACAGTTGGCTACGTACGGTGCGAGAGAAGTTCAACACACACACATGCATTAAGATTAAGAGCTCACCACGGCCAATGAATGCTGTTGATGCCACCACACCTTACCATCACCCTCCTCCCTTCTGTTCCGTCGCAGCGTTGTTGCAAAGTCGATACTCGACCCCCAAGCCCTGCACTCGGTCTACCTACATCTGGCTCAAGGCCTCCCTCCGCCTTGGTCTCTGACCTCTGGGTGCCACTCCAATGCCAGTTCCACCAACATGCCCTCCTCCATCCTGCACGCGGTCCCACCAATCGTGACCTCCTCTCTGCCTGATTCATCAATAACTGTTTATGTATGTTGAATTTATATCCAACCGTGTTGATCGGAGGTGCCATATCTCCACGTCGTAATGTATAACAAGTTGCCTGTGTTATGCATGCGGATTATTTTTTTTAATTGCTACATTATATTTCAGATTTCCAAGTTGCCTACCCATTGTATTCGAACACATGCAAACTTGTTACATATTACGACGTGGAGATATGGTACCTCTGGATTAACGCGGTTGGAGAGGAAGTCCACATCCATAAACAGTCATCGATGGATGAGATTAAGCTTGAAGACGGCGTCACAAAGTCGGTCCATCCCGTTCATCCCCCCAGCCGGTGAATGGTTTGTGCCATCACGCCCACTCACTCACCTGGTGTACCTACGTGCCCGTGTGTGCAGTGAACTCAATCACCCCAAGCTCTGGCCGTGATAAGACCAAGCGGGGTCTCCTCTCTGCGCATCGGTAACCGTGATGTCTCCTCACGCTGGCCTCATTCTCCTTGCCCTAACGTGGCTGGTAAGTTGCCCAGACCAGCTGCTGATTAGTTGATTTACGTTGTTTTCGTGCGACACTCCTTTGGCGGTTGTGCACAGAGCACGAGTAATTTAAACTCAGCACATTTGTAAAAAAAATAAACCACTGCTCTGAAAGGAAAACAATAGGCAACGTTTCAGGCAAGGACCCTTACGTTCTAAAATAATATTTATTTGTTTCTTTTAGGGCAGCGTTATTTGCCGAATGTGTTGAGTTCTTGTCAATGCATTGATGGTGACTGTTCAAATTCCGCAGTGCATTCTGTTGCTATGTTAGTTTGGTGCATTGCTTATGTGCTGCGGTATCTCAGTCGTGTATATATATTAAATAATAATGTTTGGCTTTGTTTGTACTGCAATCGACTAGTACTGTATTAAGAGATGTTTACATCTGCACGATCGGATGGCGAAATCATAATCATGACAGAGTTAATATTGACTAAAACTTTATCACACCAACTATGTCTGCTTGCATCAATTACTATTGTTTGAGCGCACATCAGGTCAGAGGTGTACAAAGGTGCAATTGAGAACACTCGCACTGCTTGCAACTGTGTTGTGGCCATACAGATATAAATAGTATCCACATTCATGCTCAGTGTTATTAAACTATGTTACCAGACACTGGAACCTGTGTGGTCACTTTTGAACCCGCCATAATGATGACAACCACCATCGCACGGTACATCGCAATTCATAATAAAGGTTTGTTTTTGTTGGGGGATTCGAGTGTGTAAGTATATAGGTGTCGTTAACCTAATACACGCCCGACTCAGCCAACTTGTAAGGTTTGTCACGTAAACGAAACGTGTCGAGTAGTTACAACTTCAGCACGCCGGTGTATTGGAGAGTAAACCCACGACAGATTTGTCACGTTTTGTTTACGTGATGCACCTTACTAATTGGCGTTGTCGGGTGGTGGTGGCTTAACGACACATTGACATTTACGCGATCTTACCACAGACAAACAAACAAAAACCCTTTACCATGAACAACATTTGTCGCGAAAGCTCTGCTACTGCGAATTGAACAGTGCGAGTTAGGTGAGTGTCTGCCTGGTCCCGTGAGCCACGCATCAATGCTAATCCTTTGTTAGTGATAGAGGAAGATTGTTGGAAATCTCCCATGGGTGGGGGGGGGGTGTCCCCTTAGGCGAAACAAATTGCACGCTTGAGGCGTTTAGTTATATTATGGGAGTAACGTAATGCAATTAACCTACAATGACCACAATTCCACATTCCCCTATCGGAACCCATTCTCTCGACGTAGGATGACCACTTGAATTTCAACAAAGCGGAACTTGTTTTATTGGCCCCCGCATGATGATTGTGTGCAAACTCATTGTGTTGTTGTTGTAGGACATGGGCAAAACCACACCCACGATAAACAATGTTCTGTCTCCCCATATACATGACATAAATGTCTACCACATCAGCCTATTTGCTTTCCAGACCCAATGTTATCGTTCAGCATGTATTTAAGCGGGCAAACTCTGGACTCGTTTCGACCTTCTGGGTCTCACCAGCAGAGCCACATCCGTATGCCAACACTTAATCAGGATTTAAAACGCCTTTCAATCGAGAGGAGTGTTCCATTGACAGTGTCAAACGGGCAGATGTGTAACTTCATAGTGTAACTGGTGCCAACCGCTCGTTTAGAAATGCGGAAGCAAGGTTGGTAGGCCGCACTTGTGTGAGACAAAGAAGTGTGTAGTATTCATATTAAGCGCTTGATTAAACCTAAACGTGTTTTGTAAATGTCTCATTATTTACGCACTCGCGGCTTGGTTTTTCAATCGCTATTCGACAGTTTAATCACCAATCAACTCATCATCCAACCAGTCTACATTCTGATGCAGAATTGTCATAATATGTGTGTGTGGTGGCGGGACGGGAAAACTGTATTCATATATTTGTTATGTAATGTATAGAATGAACAAGTATGAATGCTCACTGACAAATTTGTCACTAATTATTCCAGTGAAGAGAGTTATTTTTTCATGCTTTTGTAAAATTCTGGCATGAACACTAACTCCACTCCTAACCATATATCACTCACCAACATTAATCATGGCTGGGAATCAAACTCAGGTTTCTGGATTCGTAGCACAGTGCTGTGCCCGGACGACCTCACTAGCTATAAGGCTACTCACGCAATCGTTCTGTTCATGTGTGTGTGTGTGAATGTGTGCTGGCGAATCCCAGACCCCTCCAAAAGAACATCTACACCACTTCTAAACATTCAGGCTGATCTGCCTACGATCCAGTTCAGTTCAGTTTATTTTGGTATAGCCCTGTGAGACATTCGGCTCTTGAATCGGGTGCAACCACAACAAACAAAAAAAACAAAAACACGAACAAGAAAAACATCTTAAAGATCCATCCTGGGTTTAACCAGACTGGAAATATCTGAACACAGTGCCATTAGTGGGCTCCTCTGGCAGGCAAGGCTACGTTGGCTGGGTCATATAGCCCACATGCCCAGCCATAACATGCCTATGTAGCTTCTTTTGTGCCAGATAGAGGGGGCTAAACGGGCACGACACGGGCTCGAGAAGCGATGGGCTGATGTGGTACAGGGGGAAGTAGAGCTGAGTGGAATTGCCAAAGACTGGTACCAGTGGTGTCAAGATTGGTCTCGGTGGGGGAGGCTTTGAAGGAATTTACTGGGTAATTGGAGGCAGTCGCCCTCCAACAACAGTGGAGGGCAGATAAGCGACGCTCACAACAACGAGCAGAGTGCTGGGAGGCTAAAATGCAGCACATTGACAGTAGAGAGCACAGCTGGTGAATCTGTCAGTCATCTCAGTCAACCCATAACACCTGGGTCTGTCCCGTGACCTCCTATCAGTGAGCCTTCGACACGTCACATTGTCTCAAAGTCCACCTAGCCTGGCACAAGTGCTGCGGTGACGTCACCAGCACTTAGTGGCATTTGGCGGCTATCGTTGTGGACTTGTTTCATTGTCGTATTGTGCATTTGGGTGTGTGGGTGTGAATGTGAGGAGCTCAGTGATTTGAGCATTGTGCTCCTATGTATCATAGTTGAACTTCAAACCTCCTGCATGTGAACACAGTTCCCGGGAACAAGTTCCCAACAACAAAAAAACAATCCTAGTGTCGCGGTCCATCAACTCCCTTGAGACACTGGTGGAACCATCAACCGGATCAGAACACCAACAGGCTGTTGTACACATCTCCTTCATAGATGGAACATTTAAGACAAGCCCCGGTGCGATTGTGGCCAGTCAAACCAAAACTGTGGGTGAACCATTGTCGTCTGCGCTCCTCCAACGAAGGAAGAATAGAAAAAAACGACACCAAAGCTCCCCTTACGCCCTCTCGTGGCTAGCCAGACCTCGACATTGACATTTAACTCCGGAACATATTGCCAATATGCAAGAATAGAATAGTCGATTAACGGCAATATGTGGGCGCCACGGTGGCTAGGAGATGTTAACCTCGCCTGGTATACAGGAGGGCGTGGGTTCGATCCCGACCCTGGCGACTGCTGCATATTTATATTTGGAGTTTGCATGTTCTCCCCGTGGCCGTGTTGATTTTTCTCCGGGTCCTCTGGTTTTTTATCCTCCACATTTAGAAATCACGCGTTTAGATGATTTGTCTGCTATAAATTCCCACGTGATAAGCCACTTCGTTGAGCTTTCATTGTTGGCCAGGTCACTTCTGAACAAGAACTACATATTGCTCACTGTGCCTTACCTGGTAAAAAAGGAAATTAAGAATAAAATAAAAACACAATATTAGTCTCGTTAAACATCGCTACGAGGAATGCAGTATAGGGGAGTGTGCATGATTACGCGCACCAACAATACAACCTATTCCTGAAACAATACGCAGCTCTTAAGTAGATATTACTCACGTGCAAAAATTGTACCAGGCTAAGGCTGAAAATTGATCTTAGCAACCGTTGCCGACTTTCCCAAGACTATCACATTCCTAATTGCTTATGCCTCAAAAGTACATAAAATGGCTGTTATTCCCCACAAACTTTGCTTTTGTGACCAGGACAGTGATATTTTAAAATTTACCTATTTTCAATGAGAAAACGTGTGCATTTGTGTCATTCCTTCAAAAAAATTGTGTTACATAGTGAATTATCCTTACTTAACCTGCATCACGCAGCAGAGATATTGATCAGACATTGCTTGAATTGATCAATACGAGCCAATGCCCACAGCCATCCAATAAATTATCTTGCATTTTCTTGATTTCAGGTCACAATTCTGTTTAAGAGGGGATTATTGTTTCGTCCCTTTCATACGGTCTCATTAGTTTTGTTCGTTTGAGACAGACGAGATCGCCAAAGAAGTTCAACATACATACTATCCATACAATCTGCATACATCGTGATAATCGATTGTTCTTGCACCCGCAATTATATGCATGTATACTGAGTTACGAATTAATCTTGCTTCACGCGTGACAAATACACGCGTGACAAATACACGCGTCCCATTATTAAGTGGGTAAACAAAAACAAAAGAAAGAGTTTAATTCATGCATAACCTTGAAATTGCGGAAAGTAGAGTCCTGATGCCTTACGTCTATACATTAATCATGTTACAATTTGTTAATTATTGTCCTGCGTGTTATTGCTGTGGGTGTGCCACTCTGTAAGATGTGTTGAGCATGATTCACGATTACATAAAAACCACAATTCCTGCCATGTAAGATTACGCACACACTCACTGCACCATAGCCACAAAAAGCAGATGTGAAATATGCCAATACTTTTGCATTTGTGATGTTAAGGTTGGTAAATTGTTGGACAATATACACACTTAAATAATTGGCATTCCTGTGATTGAAATTAATATTTGATACACCTTTGAAAAATGTAGTACATTAATGAAAAATCAGTTTTACCCCTTCTGGCATTAAAAAAAGGTGTTAAGATGTTCAAACATCAAAAAGATACCCTTTACAAGGAATAAAGTCTGCATTAACCACACGTATTTGCAGTGAACATGCAAACAAAACATGCTCTGATAATATTTGCATTGTCTTTGAAACAGATCGGCCTACACCAGAGAGAGCAGCCTTCTTTGTGGCCCAGTCTCACCAGTGCCAGGCCAGAGAACGCCAAAAGGCGAACAGCACAACACCAATGCACATATCAGAGCATTTATAGCTTGGGTTGAGTAGCTTTATCATGGGACCTTTTTCATACTTTGATACTGACAAAAAACGTCCCATGATGTAGTCTGCATTGGATTTGTTTTCTTCCAGTGTTATGATTACTGTGCTATTGCCGTCACGTCACCAGATCAAGTCACCATCCTATTGCCGTGCAGAGCAGTTCAACCCTTCGTGTTCGAAGATGGCCCACAAAAGTTGATATCGCAGAGTTCGGTTGAATCATAGGCGGCTGCCTGTGTTTGAACACGGTATCTCAACGATGATGTATACGATCACGATTTCAATTTGTCACACTCGTCATTGGACAGAGGAAATGGCAATTAGTCAATTCAGGATGGATGCATTCCAAAGGCAACTGTTTGAACTTGGGAAATTCTGATGGATTTTAAAGTTGACCAAGTTGAAACAAATTATGATATCTTTTTTAAATGCTGTGACGGATGCAAATGTGTTTAACTTGTTTTATTTTAGCTCACAGGTTTTGGTCCTACATTTAAGAAAAGTTATAACGAATTAAAACAATAGAACATTTATCTGGGTTTTCTGGTTTCCTCTCACTTGTGTAGTGAGTCACTTCAGAGACACTAATAGTAGGAGGCATACACGTTTATTCTACACCTTCCACAGTAGAGGGGATAACTGCACACGGATCAGGACAGCCAGCACACTGCCTGACCCAACACCGACGAGGAGGACGAAGTCTTCGTAGACGATGGCTCCATTCCCAAATCGCAGCAGCCCCGACCCAGCGTCGGGGCCGCCCTTTTATTCTCCCCAGCGTGGCCTGGCTCCGCCCTCAGCCACGCCTCCTTCTGGAACCTACCAGAAGGCTCTGGGCTCTGCCCCACGTGGCCCCTCTGTCACCTTTACCCTACATCCGTGCCTGTCACGTGCCCTACTGGCAGACCGGCCGCTGTATCCTCAAATGCCCTTCACTGCCAGTAACCGGCGCTACGCGCCCCAGTGGCACACTTCACCTGCCCTGGTGGTAGACCAGGCTATTACACCCACGATCCCACTCTCTACCAGTAACCAGCGCTATGCGCCGTAGTGACCCATTCTATGTCACTACACTTGTATAAACAAAATCCCACTAAATAGCAATTTAAAAATATGTATACTTAAATAACGAGAGAAAAAGCGCACATAACTAGAAAATTATCATCATAGAGAAAATAAATACAAATTATTGAGTTATCAGAAAATCTGAGATGGTTCATTATTTTCTCCATTAATATTTATGCCTTTATTTATTCAATACAGCATGTCACAGCAACATTAGTTGTCTTCTGAAACATGTCAAGATTGTTCCTGTATTTGTACATAATGTTCCGTGTGATGATGACTGTAATTATTTAACTGTTCATTTTTTCCTTTTCTCAAGGGATCATTTGCCCTGGTGAATGGCAATCGCCAGGCAAGCTCTCATCTTAATCTTCCAGCGAACGCTGAGAGATATAAAAGTAGGTTTCATATCCACGTTTTAATTAAACAAAATGCATTTTTACGAACATAAGCTGGAACAGCAATCTCTACTACATCTGTGCTGTCACCTGTCTGTATCTGATAGAACTTGCACGATCGGATTTTTGGTTATGCACCCCATTTATAGAACATATCGGTATTCATCGTACAAGCAATTATTCTAATATTTATCAAGATTCCTGACAACGCGCCCAACCAATTGAAACGCTGCACGGCAAGCAACAGACAGCGCTATCAAAGTTGTAAGGGAAAGGGGTCACTGTCATACTTCGCTTAAATTGAGCACGGTTATAAATAACAGACGATGGGCATGAATTCCCGAGTGGAGCAGTGCAAGGGAAGCAGCGGAAGGAGAAGCGTTGCGACCCGAAGTTCAACGCAGTGCAAATGTGATGCAACAGTCATTCCGCTGAATGTCATACTGCTTGAAGACCCACCATGTACCTGTTGCTTGGACAGTTTCCCTGAATATGGGATGTGGTATTAAATGTACATATAGAGAGGAGAGTACATGGTGTTCATGGAGTGATTTTATATAAGTTTATATTCATGAATACCAATCAGTGCTGAGTGGTATGCGAGCCAGTCTCGGGCCCATTTTCACCAGCCGCACTAACTATTATGGTGAAGTTTGGTCAAACAACCCCCATGATTGAAACCACATGTGGGATTAGAGCACAAATCAGAATTAGAAGAGTACATATCCAGATTGGGGATCAACTCCTGGCTCAAGAGCCAATAAAGTGAGCAGCACTTTGTTGAGAGTCAACAGTAGTTATGTTATTAAGACAAAGGACTGAACTAAACTATTTAAAATAAACTCATTTGATTTTACCATGTAAGGCCCACTAAGCTATATAGTTCTTTTTCAGAAGCAATCTGGCCACAAATGAAAACCCAACGAAGTGGCTTATCATGTTGAAATTTATAGCTGTCAAATAATCAAAACGCACGTTTCTAAATGTGGTGGGAAAAACCGGAGGACCCAGATAAAAATCCACGGGAAAAAACATGCAAACTCCATAAAATACAGGCGTTAGAGTCGGAATCGAATACCAGGCGAGGTAGTAAACATCAATGCCATGGGAATGTGTAATTTTCAGCACTGGCTTAGACCACCAGTAGACATGAGCCACCACCCCATGCTATATTTGACCCGAATATTAAGGAAGAGTCCTTTTTCAGAGCCATAATATTGGGCATGTTATGTGCATCTGTAAAAATGTGCAGTTTGGGGGCAATCTCAACGAGGGAACGGCGTTGTGTGCCCACTCCGAAAAGCATCATCGTGGCTTAGACGTCAGCGACGTTTCACAGGTTACGACTGGTGCCCGCCCTCCACCCCCACACTGCTCACAAGCCCTGTGTAAGATGGGTGTGGAAGGACATGGATTTCATCACAACGCTTCACAAACGCCACCGTCTAAAAATTTGACACGGCATAAGACAAAGATTCCCTGGAAAAGCTTAATAGGCGTTTACCTATAAAGGCTGCCTTAACAGACTGTTGGGGCAAGTGCTATTAGCGAGCACATATTAAGGCCGGCACGGCACACGATGGGTTGGGTGGTCAGTGCCACGCCCGTCCGCCATTGTCTCGATGTTTACACACCGCACCAGGTACTCATTTGATGCCGAGTCGACCTAGGGGAGGCTCAGGACCGGTTGAGATAATCGTCACTGGTGTTGGCCGTGAGCCGAGTCGAACCCATGTGGCCAGCATAAAAACACATCCGCCACAATCAATACCTAATTGTGCACCAATCCAATGTTTTGGCAAAGAGACAGCTTGTCTTTGATTTGGCTCGGAACCAAACTCTAGGCCAATGTGTATTATTTAAATAGATTTAAAAGGTGTCTGCACATATATGTTGATGTAATGGGAAAGTGCATTTATATGTATGTACGTTGAACTTCTTTCACATCGTACCTAGCCAAACGTGCTAATCGGATGCATTATTTACACTGCTAAGAACACTGACGTGTATAAGCAGCCAATATACAATAATCATTTACTCCTTTCCGGTGTAGCTCCAGACATAATTTATTCTCGAAGAGTCTAGAATATGCTTTTTTTATTGTCTTATTATGATGTTCTTATTTGGCTAGTAACTTCAGAATGAACGATGTGTTTAGCAACCTCCATGGATTATAAATAATGGATTGTAAGCCGATGACTAAATCACCAGGAAAATGTGTTTCATCTCTTAAGACCTCTGAAGCTAAGCGGGGTTGAGCCTGAATAAAGCCTGGATGGGCGACCACCATGCACAACACAGGTACTATAGGCCACGGGGCCACATGGTGGGCACCAGAGGGCAGTGTGGCAAATTCCATGATCATTGCATCCTATGCTACCCGTCTTCATCAACCTGCACCGACAAAGTGTGGACAAAAGATACCGATGACCCGCATGGCGCGCGAATGCCCTCATCCAGCAGTGGATTGACAAGGAGCACCCCACGTGTATTCCCAGGGAGAGGGAGGCGTTTATTTATGTCCCGTCTCCTGCATCAGTCCTGCAGGTTAAATCGCACCCAGCAACGACCAAACCGCACAAGCATTCCTGCACGTTCACCTTTCAAAACGACACGCACACGCCCAATCACCTGCAGCACCGTTCCGCCGTGTGTCCTCGCAGGTTACGCCAGAGCTTGTCCTTTCAAGCACAAGCTTTCTCCCACCCCCCACCCCTCCTCCTTCTTTGTTAATCTTTTCACTGTTACTCGCTGCCTACAATAGGTGCCTGTCGTAGACGTAGCTCTGCGGGAGTGGTGATGCGGCACCCAGGACGCTGCGCTTACGAAGCTGGCGACCCGGGTTCGATTCACGCTCACGGCCAACACCAGCGATGATTATCATCTGAACCGGTCCTGGCCTTCCCCTAGGTCGACTCAGCCTCGAATCAGTAGCTGGAGCGGCGTGCAAACATCGCCACTATGGAGATAAAGGCGGCCGGGCGTGGTGCTGGCCACCCACTCACTCGTGTGCCATGCTGGCCTTCATAGTTACTCGCTAATAGCACTTGCCACAACAGTCTGTAAAGGCTATTATAGGGACCTTTGTCTGCGCAATGAGCCCAGCAACTAGAGCTCGATTCCTAGCCACGGCTAACATCAGTGGCGAGTGATATCAAAGCCGGTCTTGTCCCCCATCACCAACCAACCCAGACTAGAGTGGTGAAGTATGGTCAAACAACTTGCATGCCCGATTCGGCACGGGGATGCAGTCCTCTGCAGAACTGATTCTGGGTCTCCTCTAGGCCGACTTAGCCTTAAATGAGTCCCTGGTGTGTAAACAGAAGCAGTGAGGAGGAAAAAGTGGCCAAACGTCACGCAGATCGCAACCATTCCTTGATTTGCTGCGCCAGCCTTCATAGGCGCTCGCTATCAGCACTCCGAAACTCAGTTGAGGGCTCTAAGGGAGATCATTGTCTTTTTGTTTGCAGGCAATATCAACGGTGTCCATCTATTCGCTGTCAATTCACATGCACTGCATCGTGATTTTAATTTTAAAAAATCACATTTTGGCCCAGGGCTGGTGTCACTGGTGAATTTCCCACATGCCAACTGTGTGAGTGTGTGAATGTGGTATGTGTCGTAGTGACAGCCGGGCGTGGTGCTGGCCACCCACCCCTCATGTGCCGTTCCAGCCTTCATACAGTGAGGGAAAAAAAGTATTTCATCCCCTGCTGATTTTGTACGTTTGCCCACTGACAAAGAAATTATCAGTCTATAATTTTAATTGTAGGTTTATTTGAACAGTGAGAGACAGAAAAACAACAACAACATCCAGAAAAAGCACGTCAAAAATGTTATAAATTGATTTGCATTTTAATGAGGGAAATAAGTATTTGACCCCTCTGCAAAACATGACTTAGTACTTGGTGGCAAAACCCTTGTTGGCAATCACAGAGGTCAGACGTTTCCTGCAGTTGGCCACCAGGTTTGCACACATCACAGGTGGGATTTTGTCCCACTCCTTTTTTGCAGATCTTCTCCAAGTCATTAAAGTTTCGAGGCTGACGTTTGGCAACTCGAACCTTCAGCTCACTCTACAGATTTTCTATGGGATTAAGGTCTGGAGACTGGCTAGGCCACTCCAGGACCTTAATGTGCTTCTTCTCGAGCCACTCCTTTGTTGCTTGGCCGTGTGTTTTGGGTCATTGTCATGCTGGAATACCCATCCACGACCCATTTCAATGCCCTGGCTGAGGGAAGGAGGTTCTCACCCAAGATTTGACGGTACATGGCCCCGTCCATCGTCCCTTTGATGCGGTGAAGTTGTTCTGTCCCCTTAGCAGAAAAACACCCCCAAAGCATAATGTTTCCACCTCCATGTTTGACGGTGGGGATGGTGTTCTTGGGGTCATAGGCAGCATTCCTCCTCCTCCAAACATGGCGAGTTGAGTTGATGCCAAAGAGCTCCATTTTGGTCTCATCTGACCACAACACTTTCACCCAGTTGTCCTCTGAATCATTCAGATGTTCATTGGCAAACTTCAGATGGGCATGTATATGTGCTTTCTTAAGCAGGGGGATCTTGCGGGCACTGCAGAATTTCAGTCTTTCATGGCGTAGTGTGTTACCAATTGTTTTCTTGGTGACTATGGTCCCAGCTGCCTTGAGATTATTGACAAGATCCTCCCGTGTAGTTCTGGGCCGATTCCTCACCGTTCTCATGATCATTGCAACTTCACGAGGTGAGATCTTGCATGAAGCCCCAGGCCGAGGGAGATTGACAGTTGTTTTGTGTTTCTTCCATTTGCGAATAATCGCACCAATTGTTGTCACCTTCTCACCAAGCTGCTGGGCAACGGTCTTGTAGCCAATTCCAGCCTTTTATAGGTCTACAATCTTGTCCCTGACATCCTTGGAGAGCTCTTTGGTCTTGGCCATGATGGAGAGTTTGGAATCTGATTGATTGATTGCTTCTATGGGCAGGTGTCTTTTATACAGGTAACAAGCTGAGATTAGGAGCACTCCCTTTAAGAGTGTGCTCCTAATCTCAGCTCGTTACCTGTGTAGTGGAGTAGGAAGGTGTGCTGGGGAAACTGCGCGAGTGTATTGATCACACGGACAGTGTGGGCTTTATCTGGAGTCAGCCTGAGGAGACGGCGGAAACAGTGGGGTCGTGTTAGGACAGGCAGGTGAAGAGGCTGGGGTGATGAGGTAACGGTCGGGCCAATTAAGCCAAAAGGGCTGTGATTGGTTGGTGCTGTTGCTGGGGCCGAGGAGGCGTCGAGGTGTCTGGAAAAAGGGAGGTGGTTGAAGACGCGAGGCATGCGGAGGCACGCGGACCAATTAATTAGCGATAATGAGAATTGGGATAAATCGGAGGGAGACAGAGAGAGAGAGGGAGTTTGGAGTTGGGAGCTGTGCGGTGAAGACGTGGGGTTCGGAAACAGAGTTTAGAAGAGAGTTGGAGCATAGTGATAGTGAAGCCGAAGCAGTTAGCAGTGGAGACAGCATGGTGATAGCGGAGCTGAAGCAAGACGAAGCAGCTAGCAGTGGAGTGAGCATAGTGATAGCGAAGCCGAAGCAAGACGAAGCAGTTAGCAGTGGAGTGAGCATAGTGATAGAGGAGCTGGAGACAAGGTGTGCGGAGACAGAGAAGTGAGATTGGGGTTCGCTGTGTGCGACGACGCTGTATAGCGGAGGAGCTGAGGAGGATAACCAGCAGTGGAGAGAGCGTAGGACTAGAGGAGTTGAAGACGTGTGTGTGTGTGCGGAGCAGAGCGACGTGACACTGTGAACCAAGGTGGTGAGCGAGACGGGCGAAGCACGGCGAGCGAGCCGCGGTGTCCAGGATACGGTGGAGTGTGGAGGACGTGTTAGACGATGACAATAAAGACGTGGTTGAAGAAAGACAAAAGTTGTTCGTGTAAAGTTCAACCACTACACAGGTAACAAGCTGAGATTAGGAGCACTCCCTTTAAGAGTGTGCTCCTAATCTCAGCTCGTTACCTGTATAAAAGACACCTGGGAGCCAGAATCTTTCTGATTGAGAGGGGGTCAAATACTTATATCCCTCATTAAAATGCAAATCAATTTATAACTTTTTTGACATGCGTTTTTCTGGATTTTTTTTGTTGTTATTCTGTCTCTCACTATTCAAATAAACCTACCATTAAAATTATAGACTGATCATTTCTTTGTCACTGTGCAAACGTCCAAAATCATCAGGGTATCAAATCCTTTTTTCCCTCACTGTAGGTCCTCGCTAACAGCACTTGCCTCAACAGTCTGTTGAGGCTGTACGGTGGTTAGCACGCTGTGCTAAATTACCGGTGACTTGAGTTCGATTCCTACTCATGACACAACATCAGTGACAAATATCTGACCGGTCCTGGGCCTCATTTAGCCATTACAAATCAAGTGCCAACTCATATTTCCACAATCATTTACTGCGATCAAACATTTTCAGAGGGTGCTGGGCTTAGCGTATCAACATTGGCAGTGTAGAGCCAATTGAGGACATTCTATATGCTTGCTACAGGCTCATTACATCCAGAGAAAGGCGACGAGAAACTTCCCACAAAGTAGTACAGATTTTATTTACTACATAGATGACCCCAATAGAGTGTATTAATTGGCAGCTTTCTGAGTTGAGAAATGCCGTGTGGTTTGGATTGTTGCTAATAATTGAACACGATTCATCATGAAATTCGCGACAATTATCAAACGAGACCATGAACCTGTAATATTTGCCTCTTTTCTGTTCCAGGAAATAATCTGGCTCAGTTGTTTGCAGCAGAAGACTCGGAAACTAATCTGCCACTGCAAAACAAGGTATGAAGCCAAAGACAACTCGACTTTGATATTCGTTGATGGTGACAGATTGTTGACGGTGGCAGATTGGCAGAGCGAGAAGGTGCTTGGTTCAATATCTGACCTGGACACCTTTCTGTGTGAAGTTTGTACGGTCTTCCCCTGTTGTACATGGATTTCCTCCAGGTTCTGCCGGTTTCCCTCATCATAATAAAAGCAAAATGTCAATCTCGGTTCAAATTTGCAATAAATTGAAACATTACCCGCAAATTACTCACATTGCAATCATTGCTCCCGACTGGCAGACTAACTCCTATCGCCGAGCCAGTTGCTGAGTCATCTCGTGCCAGTTGCTGCAGGGACAGCTGTGATCTGAAACAATTCTTTACGTGATCGAGTGGAAGTTTATTCATTCTTGAATGTGATTTGCAATAAACGTACTAATCTGATAGGTGTTATGTTTGTTACTGTAGTACACAAAATAACAATTAAATTGCCCATTAAAACACAATTAACGCATGGTCTCGTTGATTACGTTATTTGAAAGATTGCTAAATTGTAAGTTAAGTGTGAAATTTAAGAGAGTGATAGAATACAGATCGCAGACACATATATAGATGGAGGAGCACACTAAGACATCTAAGCAGAACGACTTAGCACAGAGACATATGGGGAGAGACACGCACACAGTGAAGCAGCCTCTCTGTGCCGAGGCCTTAAATAGACGGAGATGGAGGGGCTGGGACTGAGAGAAAATGGGATACAAATTAGCATGAAGAAAGTATACATCAAAGGACGGCGCGGGGGGGAGGGGGGATACAGGTTGTCAAGCAACATAGGGGCTGCGGAGGAAGTCGCAGCACACACTCGGAGACACCAAGGTACACACACAGGCAGAGACAGCACAGTGACACAGACCCAAGTCAAGACACAAAGGTGGGCACACCAGCAGAGACATCACAAAGACACAGACTTAATACCTCCCCGTAGAGGTGATTCAAACTAGATTTGGTGCTTTCGTGACCGCAGGAGATACTCTTTGGTTTTTTCGGTAAAGTCACGTAGAAATAAGACGTAATAAAATAACATAATAGTATACGACGTTTCATCTGTACCTGATGATGATTGCTTGTGTTGCAATCGAAACGTCGTATACTATCATGTTATTTTATTGTCTTATTTCTACATGACTTTACCGAAAAAACCAAAGAGTATCTCCTGCAGTCACGAAAGCACCAAATCTAGTTTAAATGGCCCATTGTTTATCTACTGCTGGTTGAAGGCCGCCATTTGCCCTATCTGTCAGCAGGGGTTGTCTGTAATACTTCAGATATCACTAATTCTGGGCTGATTCCTCACCGTTCTCATGATCATTGCAACCCCACGAGGTGAGATCTTGCATGGAGCCCCAGGCCGAGGGAGATTGACAGTTCTTTTGTGTTTCTTCTATTTACGAATAATCACACCAACTGTTGTCACCTTCTCACCAAGCTGCTTGGCAATGGTCTTGTAGCCCATTCCAGCCTTGTGTAGGTCTACAATCTTGTCCCTGACATCCTTGGAGAGCTCTTTGGTCTTGGCCATGGTGGAGAGTTTGGAATCTGATTGATTGATTGCTTCTGTGGACAGGTGTCTTTTATACAGGTAACAAGCTGAGATTAGGAGCACTCCCTTTAAGAGTGTGCTCCTAATCTCAGCTCGTTACCTGTATAAAAGACACCTGGGAGCCAGAAATCGTTCTGATTGAGAGGGGGTCAAATACTTATTTCCCTCATTAAAATGCAAATCAATTTATAACATTTTTGACATGCGTTTTTCTGGATGTTTTTGTTGTTATCCTGTCTCTCACTGTTCATATAAACTTACCATTAAAATTATAGACTGATCATTTCTTTGTCAGTGGGCAAACGTACAAAATCAGCAGGGGATCAAATACTTTTTTTTCCCTCACTGTATGGTGTGTTACATCTTTCATACTAAGTTTCAGTGCGATTTGGTGAATGGCGATGCCCAAAACCGGCTCAGACATTACATGCCACTCTGTTAGCCATGGCTGAGAATTGAACTTTGGTCATTGAGTTCAGAGGTCACTGGCGTCACAGCACAGTTTACGAGACACTGTGCTGGCTCTGCCCGTTAATAAATCATTGGCAGGGTGGTAAGCCCGCGTGTTATCGCGGTAATTGTAAACTTCCAGAAAAGACAATGGCACAGTTCGAAGAGCAGTAACTCAGTGTAAAAGTCTTGTTCTTAAAAGGAAGCATTGTATTGGATACAATCAAACGTTGGTTGGGTGGTTTGGGAGCACTGACTGGGTGGGACACAGTAGCCTTCTCGAGGCCCACCTATTACGTGTTATTTTTTTTCCTGTGACCTTAAATACAACCAATACTTTCATCTTGGCGTAAATGATCATCGTTAAATCGAATCCAGATATGTTCAGTTGAGCTAAATGGTCAAAAAAGCCCCCCACACACACACACTCCCTGTTTTTAAGGGATAGAAACCAATCGGACTAGGGTTTTCAAGTGAAGCAACTGAATAGCGAATGATTATCAAGACCTAAATGTCACTTCCTAGTGGGTCCAAGTCATGGAACAATGAAACAGAGCTCTCTCGTGTAGTGCTGTGCGTTGAAGTTATCAATTGTAATGAGTTGATTACCAAGTGACCAACGTAAAAACATCACACCAGATTATCTTTTCCACTTACATTGCCCCTGGCTCAGGTCTGAGATACAAAATATATAAATACACGATATCAGATGATTGTCATGTAGCAAACCAATTATATATAAGCATGGATAAGTGTTATTAAGAAAGGCTGATTATTTTGCGTTGTTATGTGATGCCTGTTGAGGTGACTCCGGAAGTAGATATACTGTGAAATTTTCTGAATGCTCTGCTGATTGAAGGAATTCTGGGATATTAATTGACCCCAAAACATAATTACAATAATGCAAATAACATGCCCCGGTACACGGTATTCAAATAATAGCAATACAGTGTATATTTGTACGTGAAATATGGCTCAGGTATTCTTATCCTTTCTTGAAAAATAAAATACCCATTATTTTTGTTTGTATTATGCGACAGGTGATCTACTTTATTGAATTTTCTTTAACCTGCCACATGCTATATGGGGAGCAGTAGTGTAGCGATTGATCCCCTGCACTATAAACCGAGTTCAATTCCCACTCACGCCAATAACAGTAACGATTAAAATTATCTGAACCGTTCCTGGGCCTCCCCTAGGTCGACTCGGCATCAAATGAGTACCTGGTGCGGTGTGTAAACATCGAGACAATGGCGGACGGGCGTGGCACTGACCACCCAACCCATCGTGTGCCGTGCCGGCCTTCATAGGTGCTCGCTAACAGCACTTGCCCCAACAGTCTGTTAACTCTACACGGGGGATCTTTGCCTTTGTTTTTGTATGCGCAGGCAGCCTTTCTAGGTAAACGCCTATTAAGCTTTTCCAGGGGATCTTTGTCTTATGCCGTGTCAAATTTTTAGACGGTGGCGTTTGTGAAGCGTTGTGATGAAATCCATGTCCTTCCACACCCATCTTACACAGGGCTTGTGAGCAGTGTGGGGGTGGAGGGCGGGCACCAGTCGTGACCTGTGAAACGTCGCTGACGTCTAAGCCACGATGATGCTTTTCGGAGTGGGCACACAGCGCCGTGCCCTCGTTGAGGTTGCCCCCAAACTGCACATTTTTACAGATGCACATAACATGCCCAATATTATGGCTCTGAAAAAGGACTCTTCCTTAATATTCAGGTCAAATAAGCATGGGGTGGTGGCTCATGTCTACTGGTGGTCTAAGCAAGTGCCAATACCAGTAATGATTATGATTATCTGAACCGTTCCTGGGCCTCCTCTAGGTCTACTCAGCCTCAAATTAGTAACTGGTGCGACCGGGTGTGGTGCTGGCCACCCACCCCCTCGTGTGCTATGCAAGCCCTCATAGGTGCTCGCTAACAGCACTTACTCCTACAGTCTGTTAAGGCGATACGTGGGCATCTTTGAATTTGTATTGGTTATCTGTCATAACTCTTCCAAGATGACTGATCGTCCGTCATAGACGAATAGGCCAAACATTTCTTCTAGAATGGCTCTCTAGGGTGCCTTCTTGTTGGAGGGCCTTCCGCCAGCAGTGGTGTGAGCAATAAATTGCAGGGCTGCGCCTTTGCCACCTTTTTATACTTTTAAAAGATCATCAATCATGCCGGTATAATATTAAAAATTAAATACAGTAGATATGACCCATTTTTTGTTGTTGGCAAGCAGGAAAACCCCATTGAAGGCCTTAATGGCCCCTTGCTTACGTTTAGTTACCATGAATGATGACGAAGACAGCTGCCAAAGCGTAATCAGAGTTGCTCCAGGGCTTTGTTCATGCAAGGTCATGCCAATTTTATTTTGCGCCAATTGACTCTCAGCACAATATTCCGAACGTGCTGTATCGTGCAATTACCACCTCAAGTGATGTTTCTGCAAGGTTAAACAGTACATTTTAATTCGGTATCTAGTCTCATATTGATCTAGAGGGGAATTTGCGTAGTCTTCGTGAAGCCGCCCAAACTCTACCATCCCCACCCACGACTACCACTCTTTTATTTCTATACTTGTGCATGCCAATATGTTCAGGAGCTAAATGCCAATGTAGAGGTCTGCTAGCCACGATAAGGCTTCAAGAGAGAGTTCGTGTAGTTTTGCTATTCCTCCTCCATTAAAGGAGGATGGACTACAGTAGTTTACCATATGGTCCATAGTTTGGCTCGCATGGCCACAGTAGTGCTCTAGCTTGTCTTTAATTTTACATCTGTGAAGGAGATGCGTACGCCTTGGCCTGTTGATGTTTTGATGCAGTTGATAGTTCCACCAGCATCTCTAATGAGGCGTTTATTCTGGACGTCTACTTTGTTCCACTCGGCTTGCCAACGTTCTTCCAGATCTTGGTGAGATTCTAGGATTGTGACAGCACGAACCCAGAAGGGGTATCGGGGCTTGAGTCAGCAGCGAGGTACATTGTTGAGGCCTTGGTTGATGGGTAGGTAATCGTTGGCAAGAAAACAAATATTTGGTTTGCATGAACAGGGAACCAGGGGATTGATGTCGGTTTCAGTGTTCTGGTTATGATGCGCATTGTGCCATTTCATTGTGCAGATAGAAATTTTGTGTATGAGCTCATGGACCAGGCTGGAGAACAGTACTCTGGCACCAAGTTAATCAGTGAGATGGCGGCAGTTTGCAGCACATCAGCTGAAGCGCCCCAAGTCGTTCCTGCAAGTTTCTGCGGCAGGTTAATTCTTGATTTGGTATTTTCACAGATCTCTGTTTTGCGGGGCTTGAAGGTCAGGCTTCTGTCCATAATAACCCACTACCACTCCCCACTCCTTACACAACCACCACCACTATCCCAAACATTTCAAGTCTCAAAGATTACCTTTGAGACTCACAATGTTTAGGGTGTCACGGCCATAAAATGGATTCTGACATTGTTGTTGTTGTTAATATGTTTTTTTAATAATACACTCAGCCCTATTAATTTAAGTGCACTGACAGCTATTTCCGATGGCACACGTCTCATGTAAGGGTCAGCTCCAAAAGTTTTGCCTTGGATCACAGACTTTATATGAGAAAGAAGCTAGAAACTAATCACAACTATTCAAGGTTATTATTATTATTATTTCGTTTACTAAGTGGTGTATAATAGCTTGCTGATATGCAAACACATTTAGTACCCCACCCCTCCTCTTCTCAAAAAGCAGACTCGCCCTTGTCTGCTGCATGAAAATTAAATATATCAGTCTACGGGCACCAACGCCCCACCACTGCTCACTCACTCCATCTCTCATTCAAATCAACTCGGCTTTAGCCCAGAGTTGTCAAGTCTCATGGGCAAAAGAAAACAAATCAAGCCCAAACTAGTGTAGGAGGAAGGTGCAGGGCCTAAAGAGGAAGGGGCGGGGATTCAAGAGGAAGGGGCGGGGATAACAAATGAAGGGGCGGGGGTACAAGAAGAAGGGGGCATGGCTTAAAGAGGAGGTAGCCAGGGAAACAACCCAAATATGCACATTGTTAAGGAGTTCTTCAAACAGTATACTTTTATACGCTCAACCCGAGCTATACATGCTCTGATACTTGGATTGTCTTTGTACTGTTCACCTATTGGCATTTTCTCGTCTGACACTGGTGAGACAAGGCCATAAAGAAGGCTATCTCTGGTGTTGGCCAAGCAGTTTCAAAGACAATGCATATATAATTATCAGAGGATGTTTTAATCTTTTGCCACAAGTACTGGTGGTTAATGCAGACTTGTTTGAAAAATCTTAACGCCTGTTTTATTGCCAGAATGTGGAAAACTTTTTCTTATTTTTCATTCTTTCATACTGGCAAAAAGGTCCCATAGATAGGCAACGTATGCAGTGTGAAATGCCTCACACGTTAAAATGTAGTGCAGTGCAGATTCACAATGAGCGGAGTGGCAGGGAATGTGAAATGAACAGGGTGACCCCGTGATTTTCGGCCACTGCTAACATCAGTGGAACGTATATCTGAACCAGTCCTGGGCTGCTGATCTCCAACCTGTACTGACCAACTTAGTGAAGTATGGTCATAGTAATGTGGGACAACCACTGTGCCACAACTCTCCCCTTCCCCACCAAAATATACAAATACTGTAGATATATTTTTATTGTGGTATGTGGCAGAACTGCAGTATCATAAAAGTCTGATTTATTCCATATTCAAAATTTATCCAAATATAGTTTTATAAAATAAATTCAGTTGCCCATAAACTTTGACATTGTGTTGAACTTATTTTGCACCGTACGTAGCCAATCGTGCCAATTAATGTGTTTATCCTTTTGAGAATTGGCAGCATGACCAGGGCACTGTCGTCTGAATTCCACAGGTGACCGACAACATAAGAAGCTTCAGAAGGAGAAGAAGCGCCGTGTCCATTGGAAGATCTCTCCACTGGCACGAGCTTTTCACAGTCAAGAACAAACACCGCGTTAAGAGGCAGTGGAATATCCCCCCCATCAGCATTCCTGAAAACGATGCGAACCATTTTATAAAGTATCCGGTCTCGGTGAGTGTTTCAACCCGGCAGCAGAGTATATTCAGCACACCAAAAACCTCTCACCTTACTCTTTGGTTCTATTCGGTAAAGTCACGTAGGTGAAAAATAAAACAACAAAAATCACGACGTTTCAGCCACAACACAAGCGGCCTTCATCAGATGAAGGGACCAGACTGTCTCGAAGACTGCGCTGGAGTGAAACAGAGCCAAGCTTAGACCACGGCAGTCTGGTCCCTTCACCTGATGAAGGCCGCTTGTGTTGTGGCCGAAACGTCGTGATTTTTGTTGTTTTATTTTTTACCTATGTGACTTTACCGAATAGAACTAAAGAGTATGGATCCTTGCAGTCACGAAAGCTTCAAATCTAGAACTCTCTCACCTTGACAAACGATGAAAAATTCTAGATTTGAAGCTTTCGTGACTGCAAGGATCCATACTCTTTGGTTCTATTCGGTAAAGTCACGTAGGTAAAAATAAAATAACAAAAATCACGACGTTTCGGCCACAACACAAGTGGCCTTCATCAGGTGAAGGGACCGGACTGTCCAGAGGACAGTGTTGAAGTAAAGACAGCCAAGCCCAGGTCGCGTCCTTTAAGCTGTGTGGGAGGAAGCAAAAAACGCCTTGACAAAGGAATTAGCATAAAGTGATGTACTGGACCGGCACGGTGGGGGTGGGGGGGTTTATAAATGTTGGTGTGAAGGGAAATAAGCTGCTGTGAAAGTTTGGGATACCACTACTTGAAAAAATATACTGTACCATTGAAAATTAGTTTAATGTTTGGATTGATTTAGAACATATTTCCAATGATTTCTTAATTTGAAATCATCCTCTCGGTTGAAATTGTGTCTGTGTTTGTAATCTGAATTGCCTCGTGGACAAATCTCTGATAAAAACCCGTGGGTTTGTAGAGAACCTTGGTATCGGAGAAAACTATATTGGGTGATCACGATATAGTTTTCTCCGATACCAAGGTTCTCTGCAAACCCACGGGTTTTTATCAGAGATTTGTCCACGAGGCAATTCAGATTTACAAACACAGACACAAGTTCAACCGAGAGGATGGTTTCAAATTAAGCAATCATTGGAAAGATGTTCTAAATCAAACCAAACATTAAACTAATTTTCAATGGTACAGTATATTTTTTCAAGTAGTAGTATCCCAAACTTTCACAGCAGCTTATTTCCCTTCACACCAACATTATGTAAACTCCTCCCCCCCCCACCCCCACTGTGCCGGTCCAGTACATCATTTTATGCTAATTCCTTTGTCAAGGCGTTTTTTGCTTCCTCCCACACAGCTTAAAGGACGCGGCCTGGGCTTGGCTGTCTCCACTCCAACGCTGTCCTCTGGACAGTCCGGTCCCTTCACCTGATGAAGGCCACTTGTGTTGTGGCTGAAACGTCGTGATTTTTGTTATTTTATTTTTACCTACATGACTTTACCGAATAGAACCAAACGATGAGAAATATCCATTGTATACCTACTATAATTACCCAGGAATGTCTGTCCTTAACGCTCGTGACGTCAGTTCAAATCGACCAGCCCCCCTCATTAATATTCATGAGCACGTGAAGTCCACCAAATGGACACCCCCTCACCCCTCCTCATTCATAATCATGAGCGGGTGACATCACCCAATATGGAGTACTCCGCCCCCTCACTAATAATAATGCACAAGTAACGTCACTCAACATCAAAGAGCCCCCCTCATTAATAATCATGAACAGGTTACGTCCTCCACATGGACCCCCCCCTCTAACTCATTAATAATCATGAGCAGGTGACGTCACTCCACATCGAACAGCCCCCCTCATTAATAATCATGAACATGTGACGTCCTCCAATTGGACACCCCCCCCCCCCCGCATTAATATTAATTAGCGGGTGACGTCACTCCACATGGGGGGGCGAGGCGCCTCCTCTCCCCTCCTCGGCGTCAACTTACAACCCTCACTACAAAGGCAGAACCCTCACGTCACGTGATCTACATCACGCTATTGAGACATCGAAGTAAAAAGGACGGCATGATGAACAAGGGATTATAACCTTTAAATGAAATAGGTCTGTGTCACCGCGCCCTTACAAATTACACACGCATTGATGCAATGAACATCACGTCGCGGTCTGTTTTTCGCTTGCAAGTTTCAGATTTACTGCAATACACCCGTCCTTGGACAGGCAAAAGGCTATTATGAATATAAAGAGGTAGTGTGTGTCTATAAAGCAGTATATATAACATGCAGGTTTTCTCAAACTATTTTGTGATTCATCATTGATTTTTTGGTTCCGCCAAATAATGATGTGGAGAACTTCCACCACCCAATATAGCCAAACAAATTAAATTGCCATGTCTACAAGTGTTTAACATGCCAATTATTATTGTTTCAGCTCATCAATAAGTTGAAAATCAAATTTCACAACTAATTTACCAATGATATACAGTGTTAGGTTTCACTTAAAACTGTGCCAAGTATAGCTTCTTAAAATAGGTCTCATGACATCACAGGAACACCGAATCAGATTGAAACGAGATATTGACCATTGCAAATGTAGATAATATAATAAAAGTTTCCAGCCCAAACGATGCCAACCGATCCCCCTCGGCGCATTGGCTAAGTCTCTATCCACATATCCACTGTTCAGATCACATCTGACCAGAATCAGTTCATCGACGTGCGGTACAAGCTAACTGGCTTTGGCGCTGACAAGGACCCCGTTGGACTCTTCACCGTGGACCCAGCGACAGGATTCCTGGGACTGACTCGAGCCGTGGACCGCGAGGAGTACAGTGTCTTCACTGTGAGTCGCCTTCCCCGAGTGGAGTTCACGGGAAACACTAACCGTGATCCATAATCGAGGTTTTTGGGTTCGATCGCGTAAATATAAATGTGTCGTTAAACCCGCCACCACCCGACACAGCCAATTGGTCAAGTTTGTCACGTTAACAAAATGTGCCAATTCGTTACTAGTTCAGAAAACTAGTGTGTTCGAGAGTAAACCCACAAAATGTACAAATCGAGTGCGATGTTTCGCCTTGTAATTACAACTACCATTATCAGGCTACAGTGAAATCTGGCTGTCGCCTGATGATCGATTCCCATTCACGGCCCAACAGCTGTGACGATTATCCTAATCAGTTCAAACACCGCGACTCGGCCTCAAATGAGTACCTGGCGCGGTGTGTAAACATCGCCACTAGAGAGACAAAGGTGGCCGGGCGAAGTGCTGGCCATCCACCCCCTCGTGTGCTGTGCCGGACTTCATAGGTGCTCGCAAACAACACTTGCTCCGACAGTCTGTTAAGGCTACACCGGGGATCTTTGTCTTTGTGTGTGTGTACAGCTGCAAGGTCACGCATTCTCTCTCCAAGGCAGGCGGGTGGAGGAGCCCTGCAACTTGACAATCGCTGTCATCGATCAGAACGACAACTTTCCAATATTCACCGTCACCTCCTTGGCTGGCTTTGTCCTTGAGCACTCTCAAGTCGGTAAGCCAAGCAGCTTGTGCGTCCATCACCACGAGTGGAGGCGGCAGCGAGTTGCTGAAAACCAGAAGGCAATAGGGCCCAAGGGAATCGGCCTGCCTTGCAGAGCAATAACGCAATAGGGGGGTTAACGTTTCTAAAAGGTAAAGGTGTAGCCCTGCAATCAATAGCTGTGGCGAGATGGTGCCGTGGTGGCGAGACGTTAACTACCTCGCCTGGTATACAGGAGCTCGTGGGTTTGTGGTTTCAATCCCAACCCTGACGTCTGTATATTTGGAGTTTGCATGTCTCGCTCCCCGTGGTTGCGTGGATTTTTCCACAAATCCTCCGGTTTTTCCCTTCACATTTAGAAAAAAAATATTTACAGTATTTGGTTGCTATAAATCTCCACATGATAAGCTACTTCGTTGAGCTATCACTTGTGACCAGGTCGCTTCTGAAAAAGAGCCATGTACCTCAGTCGACCTTACCTGGGTAAAATGAAAACAAAAATCGTTTCACAGTTTAGTTTAATATTTTAATAGCTCATGCCACTGCTGGCTTAAGAGCTTATAACGAAATGAAGCTCTAGAGAGACCTTAGAGAAGGTTATTTGGCCTCTTCTTCCACATCTTGGAACCCGCACTTAACCCCACCACACGTGACCTGCCGATCGACTAACTGTGCCGTTCTGTTCTTAGCTCTTTCGGTAAAGTCACCACGTTGAAGGGAAACAATAAAATTATAAAATATATATAAAACAATAAAAAATTCTCACGACGTTTCGACCATAACATAAACGGTCATCATCAGGTGTGTCGGTTCGCATTAATTAATTTATTTAAAAACGACACATTTATTAAAAAAAAACGTCAGCGCCACGCGCAGCGATTTGGCAGTTTATTTAGAAGGACTAGTCCATCAATGTTCTGAAAAGAGGAGTTGGGAGACGAAAAATTTAATGTATGCTGTCAGAAAGCCACTGTAAGCGTGAACAATCAATTAAGACCTGAAATGGTTTATCAAATCTTTCCAATAATTGCTAAGCCAGAATCCATCTTCTCGGTTGAAATTGGCTTAGCAATCATTGGAAAGATTTGATAAACCATTTCAGGTCTTAATTGCATGCTCTGACAGTATATGCATTTTCTTTGAAACTGATTGGTCTCCACTAGAGACAACTTTCTTAAGAGCCTAGTCTCAAACAGTGTTAGACCAGAGGGCGCCATGTTCACCAACAGCATTGTGGTTAATGCAGACATGATTCTTTGCAAAAGGTTTCAGTTTGGTGTTTTAACAACTTAACACCTCATTAGACCTCCTTTGCCAGTACCAAAATATAAGAATATGGTTTTTCCCCTTTTTTCTGGTAACAAAACTGAAACCTTTTTACGAGGATTCATGTCTGCATTAACCACAATACCTGCAGTCAAAATGCAAACAAAACACATACTATAATAATATATTCATTGTCCTTGAAACTGTACGCCTTTTGGCGTCAAAGGTCGAGCACCAATTGGGTCGAGGCTCAAAAGAAAGCCGTCCCTTGGTGTGGACCAATCAGATTCAAGGACAATGCATATATTATCATAGTATGTTTTTTGTTTGCATTTTGACTGCAGGTATTGTGGTTAATGCAGACATGAATCCTCGTAAAAAAGGTTTCAGTTTTGTTGCCAGAAAAAAGGGGAAAACCCCTATTTCTTATAACTTAACACCTGTTTTATTGCCAGAAAGGGTAAAACCTATTTTTACACGGCACAATGTCCAAGTTGTAACAGTACACAAACATGGCGCAACTGTTGTGGCGATTGAACAACGAACTTACGGCGACCGAATTTTGAAGCGCATCTGAGTGGCGAAGATATCGCCATCTGACTGTTTGTCTTGATAAGAGCTCGCGTGCGTGCTCGAGTCACGCGGGTGCCACTTGGACGTTGAGAGTTGCTTTGGGCGAAGCTGGCATGGGGAAAGTCACCGCTGAGGCTGGGTTCCACCAGCGGAAGCGGTCGGTCGTGGTCCACGGGGGGGGGGGGGGGTATTACTCCGGTGGAGCGGAATCGGACCAGTACACCCGATGGCAATGTGGCCTCCTAGGCCACAGCGGTGGTGGATTACTGAACCCCGGGTCGGGCTTGGGGTTCTCCCCGAGTCCCTTGGTCGCCATTGTCGCGGGCGTTGTAGCGGCTCCCTCTCTGTGCTGCAGGCAGATCTCGGATGGCAGCAGCCACCACTTCTTCCAGCTTCTCCGAACAATATTTCCCTATTGTCTCATCTCTTCCAACCGCTGTCGAGATTGCTCCCTGTTGCTGCGCTTGTCAGCTCCCCAACTTGAGCTAGGATATGGACCCGTGGCCCTTAGGTGCTCGTACTCTTGAGCGACCCATATGGATGTACGTTCGTCTGCACCTGCGATGTGCAGAAGGATATCAGCCCCCCTGGTTGTAACTAGCGAGACGTTGGGCTACCATTCAGTTGATGGTGTCTTCGTCTGCTTTTGGGAAGGTTTTCCTGGCAAGCACGAGGAGGATTCCCCAATAAGCCAGTGCTGACTTGGTAGGCGTCCGCTCCCGACTTCGGAATCGGTTCATGGCGCCCGAAGGGGAATCGTAGACACAGGCCAACTGATGAAAGGATTCAGCTCACGCTGTGTTCAGCAAAAGTGTCTTTATTAGATGACCCACATGTGACATCCCTGGTCATAAGCCAGGTAACACGCCATTTTTATTTTATTTTTAAATTATATCTTAAAGCTATTTTATATTCGATATTTATTTAATTTTATATACTTCAGCCCCTTGGTGTTAGACTTTTAACCCTTATTATAGTAAGACTTGTTTAAAACTTACTTAAGATTTTAGATTCCTATATGTTGAATGTATGCACCATCCTGCCAAAATAAATTCCGTGTTGGTGTGCACTTACATGGCGAATAAAACCCTTTCTGATTCTGATTCTGATGCTTCAGCACTCAGCATTCAGAATTTCTTCTCATCTCTTGCTCTCCTCTTTTATCCCCTGGTCCACATTCCTTGCCGGTCAATTGTTGCCCAGGGCTTTGTCCCTGAAGATCACTCACTGGCCAAGCATCTCTTGAGTCTCATACTAATATCTGCCCAGGGCTTTGCCTCAGATCATGATTAACTTGTCAGTTGAAGCCAAATCTCCATCACATGTGTGTATGTTGAACTTCTTGCGCTAATCGAACCTGAAAAGCTAAGCAGGTCTGAGCCTGCATAGAACTTGTAATGAGCAACCACAATGCACAAAACAAGTTCTGTCGGCTGCTGTGCGGATATGTTATCTTTATACGAATACTCAAACGAAAGTGACACGTTTTATTAAATGCATTTCAATGTCCCTTGTCTAGGTACCACGGTCATGAAGATCATAGCGATGGATGCCGATGACCCCAAGACAATGAATGGGCAGGTGCAGTACGAGCTCATCTCTGGGTCGAATATTTTCTCCCTGGACAAGCTCACGGGCACAGTCAAGGTGGCAAGCGCTGTGCTGGATCGAGAGGTCAGTGCAAGAGCAGCTCCCGCCTGATGGACTTGCAGTCCAGCGAGATACCGACTACAGGCATTCCTCGATTTACGAACTCCCGATTTGCGAATTTTTAGCTTGAACGAAATTTGAGTTGGGTGCCATAAACAAGGGGCTTATGGGTCGGCGTACTGCGCTCGGTTCACCACGTTGCGTGCTCGCATCACCGGCTCATTCCGGTTTGTTTAACGGTTGCTAGCGTGCGCTCCCTGTGTCCCTGTTTACGGTGTTATTTTTGCCATTTACTTCAAGCATGAGTAGCAAGTGTAAATCAACATCACCAGCTATTTATCCAACGGAATAAATCGAAGCGTGCTATGAGCGGGGTGACGAAGATGGACATTGTTCAAGGGCACGAGAAAGGAGAACGCTTGGTAGAGATCACACGTTCCCTCAGACGAGTTGCATTAAAGCGTGAGAACTATTCTCAACAACGTGCCCAAATTAAAAGTTGGAATGTAACTGCAAAGTGAATTGCAAGTGTATAGAGATTTTTTTGCTATTTCCCACTTTAAATCAACAGCATCGACCACAGCAATGTGACATGTCAACTGCATTAGCAACACAAATTACACTTTAATACTGTAACATGTCAACATTAACACTAACAACGATAAAGTTGTAGTCCTGCAATTGCTTGATGACGCCACTGCTGCCAGAAGTGCCTTCACAAGAGGCTGCCGCTGGTGGAGCTCCGGAGAGCTCCTCTAAGAGGGTACTAGGCCTACTCTTCCACACTGGCCAGATGTCTCGTAAGATGTTATATCGTTTTAAGTGCTTTTGGTCGTGCATACAAATTCGTACGGTATAGTGCAAAAAGTATATTTTTCCTGTAATCGAGATTATCCATCTTTGGAATTACATCACATGCTAAAATAAAATTAAGTATCTCTGCAAAAGTGCAGCATAAATAATTTACCATCTTACTTCTGCCCTTCATTGTAAGTTGTTTTTACACACGACCACCTACTATGTATATATGTATTTTTTGTCATCTTATTGTACAGTGCTTTGATATGTTTTTAAAGTTGTTATCCACAGCAGTCATATAAACTTGCGAAAACATTCTCAGCAAAACATTTAACGGGATGTAAATATCGTGCGTCCATTATTAATTTGAAAGTAGTCTATTATTGTTATTATATGTTTTTTAAAATTAATATTTAAGTTTTTGTTGCTGCTGTGATCACGTGCCCTTGCATAAATAGCCAGGCATCTGGCGAAGTGGAACCATTCATGTAACAAATCCAAAGGGAACTCAAACTCAGGATTTAGTCCGTGCAGCGTTTTTTTAAAACACAATTTCATCGTGAAAGGCGTGTTAATTCAATGATTTTTTTTCTGCGCGCCGGTCAAAGCGTCCGCTTGCTTGCACGCGCGCGACTATTTTTGCTGTGCTGAGGTGACGGAGGAGTACACCATCACAGTGAAGGCGTCGGACAGCCATGGGCTGCCGTTTGCCCTCACCACCTTGGCAAAGAGCGTCATCACCATCGTCGACATCAACGACAATGCACCCTTCTTTGTCGTCAGAGAGGCAAGCAGCGGTCACGCGGCGCCAAGGTCGAACGGGGGTTTGGATTGTCTAGGGCGGTCGATCCGCACCGCCTCAGCAACTCCATGTCGCGCTACGCCACGCCACGGCTATTCCCGTTGTACATGCATGTACGTGCGTTGCTGGGGCTACGAACCCCGGCGACCCGAGTTCGATTCCCGCTCATGGTCATATCTGAACTGGTCCTGGGCCTCCCCTAGGTCGACTCGGCCTAGAATGAGTACCTGGTGCGGTGTGTAAATATCACTACTTTGGAGACAAAGGCGGCCGTGCGTGGTGCTGGCCACCCCACCCTCTCGTGTGCCGTGCCGGCCTTCATAGGTGCTCGCTCATAGCACTTGCCCCAACAGTCTGTTAAGGCTACACGGGGATCTTTGTATTTGTTTGAACTTCTTTCGCACTGCACGTAGCCTCCCATGCTAATCGGAGGTGGGGAGGTGGACAACAAACTAGTCTAGGGGGACCCCCCCTAATGGCTGTAACTCGTTGTTCTTTTTGTTTATATCCTGCCTGGTGATGTTGTTGTTATAAGTTCGTATCCCAGGCGTGGGTCAAGTCATAACAATCCTTCTGAGATTGATCAAATGAGCAACTGCACCACTGTGGGAAGTCAGCAGCAGTCTTGAGAAAGATACTGGACCCTACCACAGGAATGTCTAATTTCCATCAACATCCTGAGGGCCACCAAATAACATCTCAATCCTTGAATATGTGATCCCGAAAAAAAACATATATGGATCTCGCCTGCGTTCTACGAATTGCATTAATTGTGTTCACAGATTAAAATTAAACGTTCTTGTCTTTTTTTTTTTCCAGCTGTATGCAACTGTTGTGGAAAACACCATCAAAATGGATGTGGTTAGAATTTCTGTCACAGACCGAGACAAAGTGAACACGAAACACTGGTGGGCTGTGTACTCTATCGCCAACGGAGACATGCAACGACATTTTCAAATCATCACGGACCGCAAAACTAACGAGGGAGTCATGTCTTTGAATAAGGTCGGTATCCTTTGCACTCATGGTCACAGATCGATACACGTGAACAAGGGAAAAGGGGATAATTGTTTTAATGTTGGGTAGTTGTTTATGTTGTTGTTTGTTTAAGAGGTGTGTTTCATTAGACCAGGTTCATAATCCACAAGACAGGACTTCTGAGAACCAAGAGTAAAGTCTTGACTTGTCTTTTCAAGATGAAAATTCTCACCCGCAGAAAAATTGTGCAGCCTTTGCTGCACAATTTTTCTACCTCTGATTCTCAGAAAATTAGCAATGACACTCACTTTCAGCCCCTGTTTATCCAGCAGGCAGCAGGGTTGTGCAATGGTAACACTTGTGCCTCACAGCAAAAATAACCTGGGTTTTATTACAAACTCGGGCGCCTTTCTGTGCAGTGTTTGTATGTTCTCCCCCTGTTTTGCATCACATTTATGGCAATGGTACTTCTTCAAAGCAGACAGATTGATCAGGAGTTGTTGTTATTTGCGCTAATGCAATGCAGAATCACAAAAAAACATTATTTAACATTAAAAAGGACATCTTCTGGCGTTTCGTTTTGAGGCAAACAATATTTGTATGGACTAGATTTTGATTCATATTCTTGGTTCTTTCGGTAAAGTCACGTTGAAGGGAACAATAAAAAATATATAAAACAATAAAATTCTCACGACGTTTCGACTGCAACACAAGCAGTCATCATCAGATGTGAAAACCAACGGCAAGAACATTTGAAAGAAGTTCACTTCTTTCAAATGCTCTTGCCGTTGGTTGTGTTGCAGTCGAAACGTCGTGAGAATTTTTTATTGTTTTATATATATTTTATTGTTTCCCTTCAACGTGACTTTACCGAAAGAACCAAGAATATGAATCACTGCAGTCACGAAAGCTTTAAATCAAAATTTAGATTTTGATTGTTATATTCACAGATAGCAAAATTAACTGAAACAATTTCGCAACTTTAATTATAAATGGGTCACACTGTTGCTGCTACTGGACAACAATAATAATGATGATGAGACCGAGACTGGAGTTGCTGCTACTTTTTGAGACGCCTGTTGCTGATAAGGCTGCGACTGCTCGATGATGATCATGACGACGGTGACGATGATCATGACGACGGTGACGACGACGTCTTTCCCCGGCGGACCTTCCAGACTCTCGACTACGAGGAGACAAATCGCTACGAGCTGTCGGTCACGGTGCAGAACGAGACGCCGCTGGTCGGCGTGACGCCGATTACCCAGATCTGCAGGGTGATCATCACGGTGGTGGACCAGGCCGAGCCGCCCGTCTTCATGCCGGTGCAGACGGTGGTCACGCGGAAGTATGGCGTGGCCAAGGGCAGCAGTGTGGCCACCGTGGTGGCCCGGGACCCAGATAACGAGCACAACACCAACATCAGGCACGTTGGGGCTTTGCACGATGGTTGTGGATTTGGCCCCAAACAAAAAAAAAATTCAGCATCTAATTCGGCGTAGACTTTCGCGACCAACCTTATGTTTGGTTTTAATGAATAATAATCATGTATTTGATTGCTACTATGATTGTTAAATTTTGTCGAGGGGAAGGAAGAGGGGAGGGGGGATATCCCACACCCCCACCCCAGCGGTGCAGGAGGGATTATTTTAAGGAACGGAAATTACCTGAAGCGACTGGTGTCTCATGGCGTGCACATTGAGTGCCGTCATCACACATGCGTAAGTTCAGGCTTGACTTGTTGAACCAGGTGAGAATTCAGGAGACCACAACTTGAGTCTCATTTGGAATAGTAAATAACCAGGGTCACCAAAGTGATAAATGCAACACAATAACAATAAAGTATAGTCTTGATTTGAAGCTTTTGTGACTGCAGGAATCCATACTCTTTGGTTCTTTCGGTAAAGTCACGTAGGTAGAAAAATAAAAATAAAATAAATATATATCACGACGTTTCGATCACAACACAAGCGGTCGTCCTCAGGTGGAAAACCAGCGAGAGAGCTGTTACAACAAGAGGTTATTTATATTGTTGTAGAAGCTCTCTCGCTTCAAATCTTGCTTGCAGACATCGCCCTCTGGTGGACTAGTGAGCACGATGCATAGCCAGTGTTGAGGGAGGTTGTTAATTCATTTCAATGCAATACCCTTTTTGAAAACGAGAACGGGTGAATGCCCGTTGAGATTAAATTAAGTCTCTCTTTGTCAATATATAATCCGTATAACGCTAGGTATGTAATGGCACGTTGTTTTGCAATTGCTGTTCACATGATTCACAGTGTTGACTACTATACTGGCATATGCAATATTGGCCTGCTCTTGGACATGGTGGCTTCTGACAGTTTCACATTGGCTTTTACAGCCAACAACATGATCTGGAATTTCACCACGTAAACTAAACGAAGTAATGCCGTCCCAGCAAAGAGGCTGCTGAATATATTCAACAGCCTCTTTGCTGGGACTGTGTAACAATTTTTGTATGTTCCTGGGTAGGAAGTGTTATTTTCTAATTGCTTATGCCTCAAAAGTACAGAAAATAGCTATTATTCCCACGAACTTTGCTTTCGTTACCAGAACAGTGATATTTTGAAATTTACCTATTTTCCAGAACATTCCAGATAGATTCAGGGCTGACTAAACTTGGAGTAACTTCTATAACATTCTAGAACTTTACAGTAATAGCAATAGTAGTATAAATACAGGGGCCTTAAGAAAACCAGTTCAGTTTAGTTCCAGCTGCCTAAGTGGATACATATCTACATTTTCTGAGAGGGCATCAAGATGCTGCAAGCATTCGGCAGACGCATTTTGCGATGTCTGCGGCCAATTTATCAAGACAAGAGCGAAAAAGTGCTCTGTGGAAGCATCTGCTAAGATGTGTGAGGCCTACAACAAGGCATATTTCGGTATGCCCGTCGGGGATCGAGACAAAACCCTGGGAACCTCATTTCACCTGCGAGCAATGCAAACAAAACTCTGGAAGGTAAGATGGACAATTGTTGCTCGAAATTTAACGTCACAAAATTTGTAAAAAAAAAATTGTAAAAGTTTTTAATAATTTTTTTTTTACAATTTTTAATGTTATTGAAAAAATGTATATATAAAAATGTTGCGAGAATTTCTTAAACATTAGTCATGGGTGAAATAAATGTATTTTTGTAAGTGGTACAGAGGGGAAAAGAGAGCCATGAAGTTCACTATCCCAAGAATTTGGCGGGAACCCACTTACCACTCAAGCTACTGCTACTTCTGCATGGTGGACCCTTCCAAACGTTGGACTGGCAAGAATGCACCTGATATCACGTATCCGGACCGTCCTTCATCCATCGCCCCGATGCCACACTGCCATAAGCTCCCCATACCCACTCCTCCGGAGAGAGAGCAGCCGTCTTTAGAAGAGAGCAGCAAGTCAGAGAGTGAGGAAGACGTTGTAGATCCAGATGACAATTTCAGAGGTGGAGCTGAGGAGATGAATCCATACTACCCCAACTAAAAACACCTCAACGACTTGATCATAGGTCTTGGTCTCACCAAGTCAAATGCCGAACTTTTGACATCTAGGCTCAAGCAGTGGAACTGGTTGGATGAAAATGTGCAAGTCGCAGATCAGGGGAAGATTCACCAACCTTTTTGCAGCTTCTTCACTGGTAAAGATGAGCTCTGCTTCAGCCACAATGTGACCAGTCTGTTTGAGGCAATTGGAAATCGCCTGTGACCAGAATGAGTGGCACCTCTTCATTGACAGCTCATCCAGGAGCATCAAAGCCGTGCTTCTCCATAATGGTAACAAGTACCCGTCTCTTCCCCTGGCTCACTCTGTGCACCTCAAACAGCATCAATACCTTGCTGGACGCCTTGAAGTATGATGAGCACGGCTGGGAGGTCATCAGAAACTTCAAAATGGTGGCATTCCTGATGGGTCTCCAAGGCGGTTTTACCAAGTTTCCCTGCTATCTTTGCCTTTGAGACAACAGGCACACCAACGCGCACTACCACAGGCGGGACTGGCCACAGTAGACCGAGTTCTCTGTGGGGAGGAACACCGTCAAGTGGGGGCCACTGGTGGACGCCCGGAAGGTGCTGATGTCACCACTGCACATCAAATTGGGCCTTATGAAACAATTTGTCGAAGCTGTAGATAAGGAGTCGGCAGCCTTCAAGTACCTTTAAGACTTCTTCCCTAAGCTGTCTGAGGCAAAGATCAAAGCCGGTATCTTCGTCGGGCCACAGATAAAGAAGATCCTGGAGTGCAATGAATTCCCCAAGAAGCTCACTAGTAAGGAGAAAGCGGCTTGGAACAGCTTTGTCGCAGTGGTTCATGGCTTCCTGGGCAATCACAAGGTCGAAAACTACATGGAGCTGGTTGAGACTCTGGTGAAGAACTACAGCACAATGGGCTGTAGGATGCCCCTCAAATTCCATATCCTTGATGCTCAGCTTGATAAATTCAAGGAGAACATGGGAGCGAACTCGGAGGAGCAAGGCGAGCACTTCCACCAGGATATACTGGAATTTGAATGCCGCTACCAAGGACAGTATAATGAGAACATGATGGGAGCCATTTGGGTGCTGATTCGTGAAAGTGATTTACAGCATAATCGTAAATCTCGAAAAACTACTCACTTCTAAATCTTTTGTAGTAATTTTTGTATGACCTTAGTATGAATACATGTTAATTTTGATACATATGTTTTTTTCTAACTTTATGTGAACGAAAAGACACAAATTCTCCCATTTTTTCATTTAAAATAGCTACATTTCAAAATATTACTGCCCTGGTCACAAAAGCAAAGTTTGTGGGTAATAATTGCCATTTTATACACTTTTTAGGCATAAGCAATTACGAAATAACACTTACTACCCAGGAACAAAAATTGTTACATAGTGATATATGCACGTTATTGAATCTCCGTAAAGTTATCGGCAAAAATTTATTCAAACAAAAAACTAACGGTTGCTCGATGCACAAGCATCGAGCACCCTTTAAGGTGTAATAGGTAAGAATTAATACGTTTATTGTAATGAGCAACGTTGTAAGAACGTTGGAAAGTGGACGATGATTTGAGGGAATTCCAAAGTGGCGCAGTGTGAGAGAGTAGAAGCATAAATAAACGTGTTGTGACCCCCGGTGTGGATGAGGCGGCACATTCAGTCGGGTAGGGCGGGTCCTCAACACGGCTGGAGAAATCGGCGAGTGGAGTTCTTGGGAACACTAACCATGATCCATAGCAGAGGTTTGTTGGGTTAGATCGTGTAAATATAAACGTGTCGTTAAACCCGCCACCACCCGACACAGCCAATTGGTCAAGTTTGTCACGTAAACAAAACGTGCCAATTCGTTACTAGTTCAGCAAACCAGTGTGTTGGAGAGATAACCCACAAAATTGACAAATCCAGAAGGACGGTGCGCCAGTAATTATAACTAGCATCCAGTGCCAGATTCAGCTAGTGCGGGGCCTGTAGCATATGTTATAAAGGGGCCCTAAATAAAATAAAAAGACATAAATATTAAAACACAAATGTATAACTTGCATCGTAAAGTAATTATATTTTTTCATGTGCTATTCAGCCAGATAATACGACAAATTGCTAACCTTAAACACCCAGTCCTTCATAAAAGTTGAAATCAGTATAGTACTATAGTAATAGAGCAAGTATAGAATCGCTAAGTTACCGTGCGTCTTGCAAGTGTAGAATCACTAAACCGGAGTTGATAGCTTGAAAGCATTTAGCGCGGGGCCCTTGAAAGTGCGGGGCCCGTTGCATATACTGCTTTTGCTACTCGGATAATCCGGCACTGCTAGCATCATGACGCGGACGCCAACAGCTGTGGAGAAATTCTCCTGCTTCGGTCTTAAATAGAGGGATAAACATGATGTGATAAATGTGATGTCGTCACTTGCGAGCCAATCAGGTGGATAAAATTGGTCGCGAAAGCCTACGTATTCAATTGACTAAACTTGATGGTCGCCTAAGGTGCAACGACCAATTTCAACAGGGGGGTATGCAAGATACGACTGTGGGCCCTCCTCCTTTCTCCCGACTGTTTATAACCCCTATACAATAATATGTCGGCTACAACTATATTATTTTAGTTGCACTGTGTATTTTGTTTAGAGGAAGACAATCTCACACTGACAGCGTTCATAAAACATATTTGAAGGGACAATACTCACAATTAAGTTACCGTGCGTCTTGCTTTCACGTCGGCCCATCGGTCTAGAATTCCCTTATTGATACGATAGCCAGATGTGTTAAGCAGGCTTGGTCCACGGCACACAGCGTTGGTGTACGGTGCTTTTTCTGGAATATTTTGCTGTTTTTTTCCTGGATTTTCTGTTTCCACAGTCACATAGTCACTTTAAGATGTTTTCTTGTTCATGTTTTTGTTTTGTTGTTTGTTGCGGGTTGCACCCGATTCAAGAGCCGAATGGCTCACAGGGCTATACCAAAATAAATGAGACTGAAAAAAGAAAAGAAAAGTAAACTGCAGGCAATTTTTTAATGAGTACATTTAAAAATATATATTTCTTCACTTTTTTCTACCTGTTCATCTATTGATTCGGGGCCCCCTTGTGGCTGACTGGGCCCCAGTGCGTCGCATTACGCTGCATATTCCCCATAGTTACGTCACTGAGAGTAGCAGTAGTAGGGTGATAAGGAGGTGACTGGCTGCCCGTGAGTGAGCGACTGGAGGGACTCTGCGAGTGCTGGATCGTCAACGTGACCCCTTTACTCAGCTTGTTTGTCTTTGTGACATTCAGGTATGAGATTCTGCGGGACGCGGCCAATGTGCTGGCGATCAACTCCGTGACGGGAGAGGTTACTTCGAAGGCCCAACTGAGCCGAGACTCATCCTTTATCTACAACAACACATACACCGCAACAGTCATCGCTATAAAGGATGGTGAGATGGTCTCTGTGTGTGTGTGTGCGTGTGAGGGGAGCAGTGGTGCCGTGGTTAGTACACTGAACTATGAACACACGTACCTGACTTCAATTGATTGGCCATGGTTAGCATCAGTGGAAAGTGACACCTGATTCAGTCCCAGGTCCTCCCCTTGATTAATTCAGCCTTAAATGCGTACCAGTTGTGTGTAGTGTGTACACTGCATTAGGAAAATAAAGGCAGCCCGATGTGGTTCTGGTCACACATCCACCCAGCCGTTTGCCATGCTAGCCTTAATAGGTGTTCACTAATGGAACTGTTCCCAACAATCTGTGAAAAACTTTATGTAGATTATTTGTCTTTATTTCATGGGGAGCAGGAATGCGTTATGATGCCAATTATCCGAGTTCCATTTCAGTACTCCAGTTTCCTCCCACATATGTATAAACACTCATTAAAGGAATATGCCAAATATCCCACTATAGGACCACAGAGCTTGGGCAATCATTGGCACTGGTTCTGGCAGCTAACCCGCTTAGCTACGGTTTCCCGCATCTCCGCTTGCAGGCTGTGCATTTTATACATTCTACACTTGTTCAGATGCAATTTCCAAAAATGACACTTTCATACAAATACATAATCACGACTATTATTATTTGTTCCTATTGTGAACAAAGGTTCGCCTCCTCTTACTGGGACGGGCACGGTGGTCATCATCGTGGATGGCGCCGACAATGGACGACTCGGCCTGGTCAGCAGCAGCTACTGTGTGGAGAAGGCGTCGCAGCAGGCACAGCTAACCCTCGTAGCTCGAGATGATGGCTCGCCCGGTGACCGCCCGCTCACCTTCTCCCTACCCAGCAGTTACGACAACTCCAAATACAAGTGGACCTTCGATGCGACGAGCGGTACGCTCGTGGCCCAGGCGTGGGTTCACCTTGAGCGACATAAATCACTTGTGGCATAAATGTGTGTCCGTCCCGCGCGTGACGTCACTCCACATGAGGCCCACCCCCCCCGCGTGACGTCACTCCACATGAGTAGAGCCCATTGCTCTCCTTATCTCCTGCTATAGCAAATCTGTACATGGAAAACTTTGAAATAAGAGCACTTGCCTCGAGCACGTTAAAACCATCTTTTTGGTTTAGATATGTGGATGACACTTTGGCTGTCTGGCTACATGGTAAAGATACACTTAATGATTTTCTAAATCATCTCAATACACAAAACCCAGCCATCCAGTTCACCATGGAAATGGAGGTAAATAACACACTCCCGTTCCTAGATATTTTGCTTGGACATGGCATAAACGGTAAAATAACACACAGCGTTTACAGAAAGCAAACGCACACTGATGCCTATCTGAATGCAGATTCGCATCATCATCATCCAGCTCAGAAATCCTCTCTTATCAAGACGCTCATACATCGGGCTAAAACAGTGTCAGATGGTGAAAGTCTAGTGAGAGAGATCAAACACGTTAAAGATGCATTACGACAGAATGGCTACAATAATACTCAAATTAACAGAGCACTGAATGCCAAATCACGATCGCAAAGCAACACTTCTGAAAGCGATCAGATTTTAAAACAATTAAAATGCCATATATCTCAGGAGTAACTGACAAATTAGACCGTGTTTTGCAAAGCAAAACATTACAGTAAGATTTGGTACAGTACACAAAATTCAAAAACTAGTATCTTGCACTAAAGACGAATTACCTAAATTATCAACAGAAGGTGTATATCGGATTAATTGTTTATGTGGCAGATGCTATATTGGACAGACGGGATGTGACATCAGCATAAGACTAAAAGAACACCAAATAAATATTAAATTATCTCAAACACAACTGTCGGCAGTGGCAGAACATGCTTGTCAACAAGGACACTCAATTGATTTTGATAACGTTGAAGTGTTGTGTAAAACTAATTATTACTGGCAAAGACTAATTAGAGAATCCATTGAAATTTAGAGAAACAGAAATAACTTTAATCGTGCTGATAGCTATAGGCTTAGCGCGGCTTGGGAGCGTATTATTAAATAATAGATATTACAATTCCTCATAGGGGAAACACATATTAATTAACGGATTACTAATGTAGCATATAATCACAATAACACACATTACAACTAATTACTAATCTACAACTCATTACTAATCATAACTATGGACTGATTACCAATCGATAATTACAATACCCCCCCCTCTGCCTCAAATGACTGCACCTGAAATGAGTTAAATGATGAAGTCACCCTGCTGCTCTATTTAAGACCGAGAGCAAGTGAGGGATTTACCATTTTGGCGAATTTCCCGATGATGCTGGATGTAATTACCAGCGAAACGTCGTATTCAAACTGTAAATGTTGTGGATTTACTCTTCAACACACCGGTGGGCTAAAGTAGTGAACTAATTGTCTTTTGTCAACGTGACACTTTTTTTGCTGATTGGCCGTGTCGGGTGGTGGAGGGTTACGACACATTTTTAAATAACGCGATCTAACCCAAAAACCTTTATTATGAATAATATTGGTCGCGAAAGCCTACGTGTTAAACATACCTTGGGACATTTGGCATTTGTTGACACATGACCGCTTCTGTAATCCTTTTTACGAATGCACCTCTCTATTACAGACACATCAGCCTTGATGTCGTTAGAGAAGGGCAACCTGGAGTGTGGAACTCAAGAAGTCCCCGTGTCCATCACGGACAAGCCTGGCCTCAGCAAAACGTCCGTGGTGTCTGTCAAGGTGTGCGACTGCATGGCAGGTGCTGGCGGAGCGATAGGCATTCACAAGGAACTGGTCGATCGAGCGGGTGGAGTGGGTGGAGTGGCTGGGGGTGTTCCTGGCTACGCCCATGGTGGATCTGGGATTGGCCTTTCCGCAGGAGCGCTGGCTGCAATTATCTGCTCACTCCTGCTCTTGCCTCTCCTCGGTGGGTACGACACGATTGCAGTCGTTCATTCACTTATGACATGCCGGCTGGGTGGAATTGTGGCAGAAATGCTTGTGGAACATTAATATGGTTGCTAGGTGAAAACAAAAATGCAGTCTGAGTTGACTGCCTATCATCCTATTGGGTTCAATAAAATACAGAGAATATTTAAGAAAGTTAACTTTGTTCGTCCTTAAGAGAGCCTGGCCCTAGGCTTTTGAATGAATTGTAAGGTCGCACTCATTACACAGAGAGTACTTGCCACAAATGAATCACAATACTGTTCAGATTGTGTCAAGGAGTATGAACCACAATACTTTGCTGATCTCATCAAGGAAGGGGTGGTTGGCACATGCCTGCAATCCAGCAACATGTAGGCATGGAATCGTGTTTTTGGGACACCCACCTAGTGCAATGCTTGGATTGATTGAGCAGTGAAATGCCCGTAGGAGGCAAAACATCAAGGAGATTTGTACACTTTGGTTCGTTCGGTAAAGTCACGTAGAAAATAAAATAAAATAATGATAGAATACGACGTTTCTATTGCAACACAAGCAACCGTCATCAGGTAAGAATGAATGAGAAAAAAAAAACATTGTAAACTTAGAAACACAATGCAACACGACACAGAGAGCCGGCCAACACAACAGCCAACACCCCACCTGGCTGACCACGCCCCTCCAAAGTCTCACAAACAGAAAGACAGCGCCACTGTGTCGAGGCTTTAAATAGAGCGAGGGGGGAGGGGTTGGGGCAGAGAGAGGGGGGGGGGGGCAGAGGACAATGAGAGAGTTGTGTGGAATTCCAGACCACAGTGGCCGGAGGAGAGACAATGGACTATAAAATTGTTCAATTTGTACAGCTTTAGTGATAATATTTGGCATTCGTGAAACATTCTGGTTTCCTCCCACATACATAGATATTGGACACGTTCATTTGTAAACCATTCCAAAGCAAAGCCCTCTTGAGAAAAAGAATCAACTCAGTGAAGCTTAAGTTGGTGAATAAATTTGTTTCGTTTCATGAACATTTTTTACAATAAATGTAAGTTTTTTTTTACATCATTAGACCTCCTTTGCCAGTACCAAAATGTAATAATAGGGTTTTTCTCCTTTTTTCTGGCAACAAAACAGAAACCTTTTTACGAGGATTCATGTCTGCATTAACCACAATACCTGCAGTCAAAATGCAAACAAAACACATACTATGATAATATATGCATTGTCCTTGAAACTGATTGGTCCACACCAAGGGTGCGGCTTTCTTTTGAGCCTCGACCCAATTGGTGCTCGACCAGATGACGCCAAAAGGCCTTTTGGCGTCACCTTTTGGCAAGTGGAGGTGTAGAACAGAGGGGGATTTATCTTGCTGTCATTTTGGTGATTGATGAAAGATCCATAATAGAGGTTTTCCGGTTAAGATCGCATAAATATAAACGTGTCATTAAACTTGCCACCACCCGACACTGGCGATTAGTAAAACCCACAACATTTACAATGACTCCCCAAAACACCAGTGTGCTGAACTAGGAACAAACTGGTGGCTACGGGTGGTGATGGGTTTAACGACACAAGTTACATTTAAGCGATCGAAAAAAAACCCCGATTATGGATAATATTGGTCGAGAAAGGTTACGTGTTAAATTGATGAAAGAGTCTGTCTTTATGTCGGTTTTTACATTTCAGCTGTGGGACTGTTCTGTGCGGCCTCGAAACTGTTTCCGAAGAAAGGAAAAGCAATGATTGTTGGGAATGACACAAAAGGATTGGTCGTTAACTACATGGGAGAGGCAGGAGAGCAAGACCAGGTACTTAGCAGCAAATGCATGACCGTTCTCTATCCACTTCTCGATTATGGCTGTCCCAAGTTTGCACTCCTGTCTCCGTCATTAACAAGCACATTATAGCAGAAGACTGTGAGCGAAGTGGAGTCAAAATCGCTGTCGATGGCTGGCTGACAGTTGACACAGCCTACAATATATATTCAGGGTTTACAGAAATAATCACCACTTTGTGTATGTGTATGTATGTAGAACTTGTTTCGCACCGTGCGTAGCCACCCGTGCTCATCGAAGGTGCGGATTTTGTAGAGGTGCAGATTTTGTGGAACGTTCTATGGAGGCACACATTTATTATAGTACCAGACCACGACTCTCTGGTCCTTGTGGATCAAATATTCCCGGCTCCATCCTTCCTTGACACGTTAATATTTTCCTCATATGCCAGATGGAACTGATTTTGTCCTATACAGAGTCGCGCTCACTTTAAGAATGTGGCATTTTCGCCACTAGCTTAGCACAGGACCACCTATGAAGGTGCGCGATAAGCATCACCAAAAGCTGACGGAGACCCATGGACATTGTGTTGTTGGTAGCGCTTAATTTCCAAATGGAAGAGTCCAGAATGTAGTTTAGGAATTATTTCCGCATGCCACATTCATTTCACCTTATTTTGTCCACAAGCTGTTCATAGAATTATAGGAATACATGCTACAATAATATTGGATATTTATATAGGATAGAATAGGATATTTATATAGGACCTTGTAGGCTAGTGGTAGTGTCTCACACAGATAATCTTGACTCCAAGCCAGCCTAAAAAAAAGTATCGAGCGACAAATGAAGGCATGGATTTTGGTGTCGTTACGGGCACACGAAGAGCTAGTTTGCGTTTTGTTTGAAAGCCACTGCTGTACTTCCGCAGGACATGAGCACATTCCAGGCGTTCAGTATGAACAAGCAGTACTCGAGTGCAGAAAAGACCGTGCTCTCATCCGCCGCCAACCTCGATGAGCAGGAAGATTCTGCACTGCTCAAAGTGGAAGCACAGAACATCTCCGCGCCCATGAGTAGCGCCAACCTCACGGAAAAAATAGTAACGACCAGCACGTACGTCTTCACGCAACCACCACTGCATACGGGGCCTTCCGTAAGGGCGAGTGATGCAGAGCAGTTAGAATGCACGTCTTGTAACTGGGAAGGGTGCGAGTTCAAATGCTGGTCAAGGGTCAACTCTGCCCTTAATTTACCCCCCTCCCCACCTCTCAAGGTGAATAAAATCAGTACCACTTTAGGGGAACTCAACAGTGGTTGTTCTATCAACAAACTTACTCCTGTCATAGGAATCTGGATTTTATAAACGTAGCTTAGAGATGCAAATGGAGATGAGCTCTCCTCTTTGCTCATTCGGATGGGAAACCACTTTGATATATTTTTTTAAAATAGATGACCACAATCTGAAGCTCATTTGAGCATGGGGACACTTTGTGTCCAATTTACACATTGGGGAATGTTCACATTTCCCCATTTTCTTTTTGGCGCCAAATTGTGCCGAGACCTTACATACACTTATGGCTCTCTGCGTCGGCATGGCTGCAATCAGTGTGTTTACGTGAGATTTGTTTTGCCAGCGACAGATAAAAAAAAGAAAAATACGAATGTGAGGCTAGTCAGCGGCTATTTGCCAAAGGCAATGTGTTTTGGACAGATTGTCCAGATTCAAGTCTGGTCCTTGAGATGCTGGATTATTTAACATTATAGTTGTCATCGGGAATGAGACCAGTAGAGCGATAGACTAGTTGTTTCTTAATTGTATCAGTGAAATCAATCACTGCTGCACGTTTATATGTGTGCAACAGAATTGGGCTGGTGGCTCAGAGGTAGAGCGAGCGGCTCATTTGTAATGGTTGAGAATTTAAATCATGGTTGTGGGTTGACTCAGGCAATCATTTCTCCAGGGTCGATAAAATTAGTACCATTTTGCTGGGAAGTCAACAGTGGTAATTCTATGGGCCTCCACCATTACAGCATGGAATTTCTTTCACTATCCCAGACCTGTAAATGTGACATGAGCACTGCCTCAATGATCAGGAAATTACTTTTGCTTTATGACTTTGACAGCATTCTCATTCCATCACTTATCACACTAACTATTTACTACTTAAAGCTTAGTGACTGCAGGAATTTATACTCTTTGGGTCTTTTGGTAAAGTCACGTAGATAGCAAAATAATAAGAAAATTATAAATAATCACGACGTTTCTATCGCAACACAAGCAATCGTCTTCAGGTGAAAAAAATATAGCAAGAGAGCTGCTGAAGCAGGGTGTTATATAGGCCTGAGATGGGTGCAGCCCAAGGGTAAGTGGGCGGGGTTACATCGGGGGCTGGCCATTGTATAGTGAGAGATTAGCATGTCAATGTAGCTACCGCCACATCGAGGCCTGAGATGGGTGCAGCCCAAGGGTAAGTGGGCGGGGTTAGATCGAGGGCTGGCCATTGTATAGTGAGAGATTAGCATGTCAATGTAGCTACTGCCACATCGAGGCCTGGGATGGGTGCAGCCCAAGGGTAAGTGGGCGGGGTTAGATCGAGGGCTGGCCATTGTATAGTGAGAGATTAGCATGTCAATGTAGCTACCGCCACATCGAGGCCTGATATGGGTGCAGCCCAAGGGTAAGTGGGCGGGGTTAGATCGAGGGCTGGCCATTATATAGTGAGAGATTAGCATGTCAATGTAGCCACCGCCACATAGAGGAATGCAACTCAGAGAGTCGGAAATAACTGCTAACATCGGCAGGTAGGATGGAAACATCACAGCCAGTTATGACGTAAACTGGTTAATAACGTCCTTCCAATGATTGCTCAATTTGTACCCATCTTCTCGGTTTAAAATTTATCTGTGTTTATAAATCTGGGTGGATTCATAAACTTAACCAGTTTTAAGTGATAACTGGCTGTGATGTTTCCATCCTACCTGCCGATGTTAGCAATTATTTCTGACTCTCTGAGTTGCATTCTTATATTTGGCGGTAGCTACATTGACATGCTGCTAATCTCTCACGATACAATGGCCAGCCCAACAGCTTTGGGGTGCCTTCGATCTTCTTTCTCTAACTCCACCCACTTACCCTTGTGCTGCACCCATATCAGGTCTATATAACACCCTACTTGAGCTATATGTTTTTCACCTGAGGACAATTGCTTGTGTTGCAATCGAAATATCGTGATTTTTAAAAAATATTTTTCTATCTACATGACTTTACCGAACGACAAAAAGAGTATTTACTACTATTTCTATTTTACCTGGTATGGCCCATGTTGAGCTATATAGCTCTTTTTCAGAAGTGATCTGGCCACAAACGTGAGCTCAGCGAAGTTTCTCATCATGTGGAAATGTATAGTAGCAGACAAATACTCTCTAAACTAGTGTTTTTCACTAACTTTCAGGGCGGCGGGGAGGGGGGGTGGAAATTTTGCCGATAAGACATCAGTGTGAGGGCCACCACATATTTGAAACCATTGAGGTATGACAGTACGATGAAAGGGGGTGTTTCTACATTTGTGTATTATCGGGGGCCGCACTTCAGAGGGGCCGCACTAAAGGCCACCGGGGGCCACAAGTAGCCCGAAAGGGCCTTGGAATGAAGAATACCCGCTCTAAAATGCACGTTTCCAATTACTGTTCTCTCGCCACCCACTAGCACCATGAAGAAAACCACGCAGCACTCGTCGTCGTCATCGGCGCAGCGGCAGCAGCAGCAGCAGAACGGCATGGGAGGCATCGCGCAGGCCGGGCTGGGCCGTGCTGCCCACTCTGGGGATGTGGCAAATGCCATGGCGGCGAGAGAGCACGTGGCCACCGCCAACGGCTCCGCGACCGTCGCGAGCAGCAACGTCAGCAGCATCAGGGGCACGCTCAGACCCACGTCCCCTTTCGCTCAAGCCGTGAGCCCCACTGTGAGGCTCGGCCATGGGGGTGGATGGGCAGCCGGGCACAGCACGGCCACAGCTCAGTTTAGCGACGGGGTACAGCAGCAGTGGCAGCAGGCCGCTGTCTACAGGGAGGATGCTCCGGTGGCCAGCGAGACCTTGCGTTTCAAGAGTGCCAAGGCCATGGGTGGCTATAAACTGGGTCAAGAAAACATGGACAAGGTTCTTTACAAGGTGCTGGGAATTTATGTGCTCATGAAATGTATACCTAATGTATATTTATTTATAATCACTCGCTTACCTTTTTATATGTTGCACCATCGTTTTTTCCATTGTTTTTTTGTTTTTGTGACTTGCTGACCCGCCCCTACTGGACATCTGTGATAAAGAGCCTCAAAGTTCATTGGATTCCTCCAGTGTAAATAAATATTTTGATTCTGGATGGGGAGATCATTATGGGCTTATTCCACACTATCTTTTCCTGCGTAGCGTTTGAAGAACAAACGGCAAATTATCATAACCCGCGTGTTTAACATTTACTAGCACATTTCTTGATTTGGAGAACACAGCGATTATCGCTCCCATTGCAAAACTACTGCAGACAATGACTGTGAATCATAGTGTAGTGACTTGCTCAGAGACACTAAGAGTAGGAGGCACTCTGTTCACAGTTCACACTTAGTAACTACGGCTCCCAGTCAGGACAGCTGGTAGACTGCCTGACTGACGACGCCGAGATGGTGAAGACGGTGACGACGATGAAGACTCCAGCAGCACGACGGGATCCCACTCCAAACGACAGCCCCGAGCTCTTACTCAGGACCTCCTTTTATGCTCCCAGCATCGCCTCGCTCCACCCCGGCGACGCCCCCTCTCTAGAACTTACTAGCGGGTTCCCGGGCTTCCCCCACGTGCCCCGACATCCCTCTCTCTGGTCTATCACGTGACCTGCTGTCAGTCAGGGCTGCTGTAACTGCAGATCCCCTTCCCTGCCAGCAACAAGCGCTAAGCTGCTAAGTGACCGATTCTATGTCACTACGAAAGCTTTAAGTCAAGATACAATAGCATCCTCGTAAAAGTCTTGCACTATAAGAATGGCACGAATAGCACTAATGATGATAGAGTCACAATAATCCAGTGTGGTCATGTGATGACTTTTGAAGCCTGGGTTCCAAGTGCTTAAGTCACAAATTCACAAATTGGCTAAATCAACGCAGGGAACGTTATTGCCCCAGTATAACTGAGGTAGTGGATATACTGGTTATACTGGGTAACATATATAACTGTGGAAGCATTGGGAGTGAATGCTGACTTAACCTGCAATGCCCGACTGCCTGTCTTTGCCTTCGTGTGTCTGTGTGTGCCTGCGCGTGTGTCTGTCTTTACTCCAGGTGAAGTTGCTGGTGGATGCTGACCCAGCCATGATGCCGCTGGACACACGCTTGATCTACAGCTATGAAGGGAGGTGCACACCTCCTGATTCATTCTCCTGCCTCACTGACCTCAACTTGCAATAGATAGAGACAAGCCAACACCCCATCAATCCAACCATCCAATTCGTTCATCTGTCCCATCCAGTTATTAACTAGTCAATGCATCCATTCACCATTCAACCATTCATCCATTCATCTAGAAGTTATTCCATCCATCCGTCTGTTTCACCATCCATTTATCTTTGTTTCCATCCGTTCATCTATTTTTGTATCCGTTTGTATATCCATATCTCTTTTTGTCGATCCCACACCTCCGATTAGCACGGTTGGCTCTGTACGGTATAAACGAAGTTCAACATACATACATATACATACATGTATCTATTTGAGCCACCCATCCATGTATTCTTCCATCAATCAATTTGTTCAATCATCCACCAATTTATCCATCCATACACCCTTGTACGTGTCTATCCATTCACCTTGAATGCAAAAATCGGCTTCTGGCAGACAGTTTTTGTATCTTTCACAAATAAAAATTGTGCTATTGATATTAAGTCACATGTATATTTACACTAGGCCTCTCTTATCCAGCATTCGCCAGCACTTTAGCCCTCAAAGTTAAGCTCGGCTGAATTAAGTTAAATGTGTAGTATAAATGTTAGACATTTTTGTGCAGTCGTTGGTGACCAGGCTCAGACCATCAGTTATATACTGGAGAACTTGCTTTACTCGTGATGACTCTGTCGTGTGACACAGCCATTATGATTATTACTTGCTCTTGCTTGTGTTGTGACACGGTCATTTTGAATCTCGCACCCTCTAACTCTCTTTTAAGCCCCCTTTTCCTACCAAGCTGCTACGACCATGTTCAAATTGAAAACCCTTACGACAACAGTGGTGCATTACTTTTGCGTAACAATATGGATGGGATGTCAAATATTTCACCACATGTTTTTAGGATCTCCTGTGCACAACCGCTGAACTGTACACCTTAATTTAGCTGTTAAAGATATGTGGTGGTTCACCAGGTGACTGTCTGCTGTAAAAGCAATGTAAAGATGAGGCTGTTAAAATTTATTTCAAAACCATTTTTTAAATGCAGTCGCTAGTGCAGTGGTTCTCAAACTGCAGTACACAAGGCAGTAGGAATTAAGTGGTCCGTGGGACTATTGCAGATTCTACAATTTAGAGTATTAACTTTTTTTACAAATATTATTGGTGCATACTGTAGTGTTACGCAAATTGCTATGATAGTTGACAGTGAGTCCAGAAAGTTTGGGAATCACGTCACTCGTGTATGGTTTGACATTATACAACTCGGCACACATACCTGTAAAATTTGTTTGTTTACTTATTTCTTTAAGAAAAGTTGCTTATGTTCGCTGAGGGCCAAGGCAATTGGTTTAACGTAGCCGTGCTGTAGTAGTAGTTTTTTAAAACTTATTTTCGTGTGTTTGTTTGGGCACGGACAATGGGGTGGGTTGCGATGAGGCTTCACTGCTTTCTATATAAAGTGCATTGTTTGGGTGAATGTCAGGGACGTTGGGTCATGTTAAAGCGATGCGCTCACATGCACATCAAACCCAAATTTATCACACCATCAATATCCCACATGGCAAAGAAAATCATGACCATATTCTTGCGGTCTAGATTTGCTTGCATTGTCCTACTGCATTGGCACAGAGCAATTATTTTGATCAATGTTTTGTTATCCTTAATCAACAGACCTGAGACAAAGTTATGTTCGTTGTAACATGTGGATTATCATGACATTACTTTCATGCGACGCAAACATTACATTCAGTGGCATGTCTTTATGAACCTCACGTAAGGCAATGGGTGTTCTATTGTGAATGTTTTTTGATCGGGGTCTAGCGATGCGACGATTAAGAATTTTTCTCTGGATTTTAAGGCACTTGGCATATTAAGAGACGCCCCAAATATTTGCCCGGTGTCAATAAAGTATACAAATCTGGTCTCGCGAGCACGCACACACACCAGATAGTAAGAATCACCCCCAACTATCGCTTTAAACTACATGGGGGGAAAGGGCATCTTATAATCCAGAGACTACGGGAATATCCATCCATAAACTAAATGATTTGCGCATCAATGCACACCTGTACGTAATGGGTTCACGTTGACCACTGTGGTCACTAGAGGCCGCTACCAAAACAGCAATGATTATAGAGTGGAATTACCACACTGAATTGCAACAATTACCCGAGTCACTGAGTGACTGAACCGTAATGCCTCTATTGCTCTTCCATGCCAATCAAAACATCGTATTTTTTCCCGCAGGGAAATGTTAGCTGTTGACCATTTTCTATACTCTTTGGTTCTATTCGGTAAAGTCACGTAGGTAAAAAATAAAACAACAAAAATCACGACGTTTCGGCCACAACACAAGCGGCCATCATCAGGTGAAGGGACCAGACTGTCTCGAAGACTGCGCTGGAGTGAAACAGAGCCAAGCTCAAACCACGGCCTTTAAGCTGTGTGAGAGGGATTAAGGTGCCTTGACAAAGGAATTAGCATAAAAAATTAGCATTTAATTGGCGGACTTGGCATGATGAAAGGTGTAGTGGTGAACATGCGGGTGCACATGCACCCGCATGTGCTGCGAAAGTTTGGGGTACCACTACTTGAAAAAAATAATAATTGTTGACCATTTCACAAGTTAAGTGAATGTTATATATTGCACAATGTCTAATTATACTCTCTGACATTATAAGCGTTGTTTTGCCCTAGATAGTAAGAATTGTATTTGCTTCATAGCGAGAAGCTGAATTACTCATTTGTAACTGTGGAAGTTATATTGTGATGAGTAAATAATACATATCCACAAAAGTGTCGTTTTATATTAAGCGAGCTTCCAAAAAACGTCATTGTAATTGGCTATGCACTTTCGACCTCATTTTGATAAAACATGTTAGGAATAAATCATATTTAGTGTTGTTTTAAGCCTTTGGTAAAAAAAAAATTGGATAGAATGTGAGATTAAATTGCATGCATTTGCACACACATTATGTTACAGTTAGTTTTAATAACTTGTTCTCCACACATTCCAATTCTTGGGTTATGGCCTCGATTGACATAAACCATGACATAAATAATTCACAATGATTCGACGGCAGTGTCATTGTGTAGAGTAATATGTTAAAACTGTGATGCACTTACACAATTATATACATTCTTAGACAATGCATCCCCATACCAAGAGTTTGAGCAGTATCTCTTTTGGTGATTGTGAGCCTTCAGTGAAAACTCAAACATTCTTATGACTGAGACCAATCTATAAATAATATATAAACCACGAAAGACTTTCACACAACGCGATATTCAAGTTGTCAGTCCTAGAGGTATGGGAATATGCTAGTGACACTAACCAGGTTAGGATGTAGTTAGACTGCAGTGACTTGAGACACCACTGTGATGATACACATAACACAACGTTTAGCCAGATCTAGAGTACAGGTTCTGCCACAGTTGATCTAAGTGTTATATGTCTCATCAACGTATGCTCATGATATATCTGAACAATCGTGGCAAAGTTAAACAATTAGCACAAACGTTCCCATTCCTTTTTTTTATTGTTAGTTGGCGTTGCTACTAGTATCTTTTATGATTCATAATTAGTTTATTTTTTGGCTAGATCGTGTAGTTATAATAGCATTTGTTTTTACTCTAACCCTCCGCCAGCCGACAACGCCAATCGAATCAAGTTATCACGTGGGCATGTTTGAAGCAGTTTTAACAATCGGTGTTGATTGCAGCAAGCAACAGAAATATTTCACCCGGTTCACCAGCATGGGCGTCCCGATGACGTCATGGCATCGACTTCAGGACCCGGATCGGGAATCTCTATCACACGAGAGGCTCAGCTTTTGTCAACACCTGATGATGACGATGATGTTGCTGCGTGTAATAATAACATTGGCAACATGTTGCTTGGGCTTTTCAACATTCTTCCGGTTTTTTTCTCTCCCGATAAACCAAATCAACTGGCACGTTTTCACTTGACGTTCACAACTTGGTTTGATTGGCTCTGTCAAGGGGTGGAGGGTTATTGCATAAACTAAAATGTACACGGCGACCTGACCCAAAATGAACTTAATTATGAATCGTGAATATTGTTTCACGAAAGCCTACTTATAAGATCCTGTTGTTTTGGAAAAGGCATGTTTAAACAAACTGCACCTTGTTTAAATTCGCTCTAAAGTGCAACGTGTATTGACAGAGCTTTCTGTTTTGTATCAATTTGGCTCTTGTAGATATCGCACTTTTTCGACGTGGTCCCCTTTTTTGAACGTGGTTCTTTTTTTTTGCATGTGTCTATTTCTTTCTCTCGGACGTCTATGGGCAAAGGAAATCACAAAACAGCGTGGGACCCATTAAAATGTTGTATGTGTTTTTTTTAATTATAATACCATTTTAAGTTGAATGAAAAAGACAGAGGTTTGTTTTTTTACAGCTCAAAGGCTATCAGTTCTTGTTTAAATAACTCACACCTGTTTTATTTTACTATTCTTTATTAAATATACAACTTTAATGCTGCCATTGAGGCTGCCATTGTGTTAGCTTTGAAGCCAACTGTTGCGATAATACAAAACTAAAAACTTTTAAAGTTTTGCTTCGAGACTTCTAATGTGTGAGAAACAAATATATGCTACAGCATTAGTATACCTCATGAACACACGAAGCACCCACCCGTATGTATGTGTGTGTCAATAAACTCTGCTTTTGAAATGCATATACGGTATGTTGCATACATTTGTAAAGCCGTGTATCAGTAAGTGCGCTGGATTACGATCGTAGCGACCCCAGTTTGATTCGGAGCTCCACACCACACCATTGACCTTAGACTCTTTTCGCAAGGTCAAGCCGCTACAGAAAGTAATACGGATCCTAAAGTTGCACCCAGAGTCAAAGTGAAACAAAACTTACGTACTGTATGTAAAACTGCTTTCGCACCACACGTAGCCAACCGTGCTGATTGTAGGTGCGGGAGAAGGACCACAAACTAAACACAAAAAGCAGTTCTAAAGAAATGAGTTTTCAATCTAGATTTAAAAGTGCATATTTACGAGATATACCAAATTATAAGATGCATCCCCAACCTTAACTTTAAATACAGGGGGGAAAGTCCGTCAATCTGGAGAATATACCATCAAGAGCATAGACTTTATAGAAACATTGCAACGTTGTAAGATAATCTATTTACCGGCGCTGCAAAGGTTTAAAGATACAACCTCAACTACATTATTCACTCCGGGGCAGCATTTTGCTGAGCAGGGAAAATTCCTCGTGGTCGAAAAAACGACCAGAGGGCCTGACGCTCGCTCTTGACCGACTCAGCGTTTGCCCTTCGGAAGCGCGGGGTAGGTGAATACACAGCGCTGCATCCCAGCGCACCTTGGCTGCTGTTGGGGGCTGGCGTGCCTTTGGGGGATCGCTAGTTGCGCCTTAGCATTACATCACTCCATTATTATGGAATTCCTGGGCTGGCCCACGCTTGTTGAATGGCAAAGCATCACGTCTATAGCAAAGTGATTACCTCAATTGTTTTGGAAGAACTTCAGAATGTTCTTAATTAAGGGCCGTATAGCACAGTACACTGATTGATAGGCATGTGAATAAATGGCAAAAATATTAATTTGATGAAAATATATGGGGGGTTTTTTTCAATCGAGAATGGCATTGAAGTGAATTTTTTCAACGAAGTAAATTGTAAAGATGGGTTTATTAATAAATATGATTTACATTTATGTTATTGAACTCCAAATAATGTTTTTTTTTGTTAAGTTTCGCATTTCTATGGCCAGGACAAGTCCATAGAACAACAACCACTGACTACTCCATGAAGAGGTACTCATTTTATTGACCCCAGAGGTATGATGGACTGAATCAATCTTAGCCAAGAATTGAATTCGCAACCTGCCAACTGTGAATTGCTTGCCCGATTGCCGAGCCACCTGGCTGGATTTTAGTACACGGTAAATTAGTAATTTCAATGGGCTTTTCTTTTCCGAATGTGGAAAATCACCTCTTGATGCTCCGTTGAAAAATGTTCACCACATGTGAGTCATATGATATGTTTATAACATCCATACCACCGAGATAGGGTAGGGTGAATAGACTGAAAAATTAAACCTTTATATCTTGTGCACGCATTGGCGATCAAGATGAGACGGTGACATCGCTGCACATGCGAATGTGGTATCATCACGGGGTGGGTGGCTCAGTAAGTGCATCTGGACAGGAATTTCCACTGGGAATTGCCGTCGCTCGCCATCTGCCACTGCTATTGACCCCATTTAATAATTTTCAATATCAAGCAATTGTGTCCTGTATCCTCATCAGCCCAATTCACAAAGGTGATCATTATTTGCAACTACTGTAAATGCAAAAAATAATATATTTTTCACTACTTTCAATTAGTTATTGTTGACTACGTACGGTGTGAAAGAAGTTCAACATACATGCATACATTTATGATTATTATCATCATCACTTACATCTCCTATTCAATTAATCTCAAGACACCCTGCGGTAGGGGACCCCCTGGTGGCAGCTCTCCCTGTGGAGCACGTGGTGAACCCAGCATGGGCCTGCAAGTGGGCATTAGTCTGCCAGGAGGGGACGAAGTTGCTAAGTGGCTTCCCAATTAAGTAATTTGCAGTACTGTCATTAATCACATATGGACCATGACACCAGCACACATGGCCTACTCTTTTTTAAAATAACATCATATGGTCATGAAGGTCCACTTCACCACCATCCCCCACTCATCAGCTTGGTAAATTGAGGTCAAACAACCCCTATGATGGACATGGCATGGTGAAGTCTTCATTCCGCATTAAATTCACGGCAGACTGGAAAATATCATTGTAAATTTGTAATAGTTTGAAATCAATTGATAACGGGGCACTGGTGTGTCTAATCATGACATGCGAGTGAAGGTGGGAGGCACGTATTGTGCACCACGTGCCTTTCCCCGCGTGTGATTCAACAATACTGACTTAGCAATACGACAGTATAAAAGAGTAGCACATCATGACCGGTTGTCGATTCTGAAAGGCTGCAATGCACGCTACAATAGTGGTGCGCATCGTGGCATGGCTGTCCTGGGTAAGTTTAGTTGAAGTTTGTTTCTTTGGCAACTTTACCGTTAATTTACGTCGTGCGGCTTAACTAAATAGCGACTAATGCAATGCAATGTGCATTTAATGTAAATACATTTTTCAGAAGGAAAATATTGAACTTTATTTAATGGGTACGCATTCAATGTTGTACATTTATTTGTGAATGGTAATAGCATGTAATACGGTAGTCAATGTATCATTGTTGTACACTTTTTTGAATAGTAATGAATTTATCACAATAATATGATTTTGATCTTCAATGCGTTAATCCTTGAGCTATACGTATTACAATATTAGTAAGTTTATATTGTAATCCTAATATTGACAGGTACAGTACTATATTCTAATACCTGAAATCAATGGCAATATTTCTCCATGTGAGAATGTTCTATAATATATTTGTTAAAACAAAACCATGAAGTTCGTAATTCATGAGCAGCAGAAAATACTTTTACAAAATGAATGCTCATATATTTGTACATTTTGGTAATTATATATTACTGGATTTTACATCAACATTATAAGTGCTCAGGTGAGAAATGCAGTGGCACATATATATTGGCAGCCATGATTCAGTGGTGCAATTCCACATTCTCACGTTTGGAACTTGGCTTTCCATCTTAATGACAACTATTATCACCTGTCAATTGATGGCTTTCATTGTTTTGTCATAGCGACATAGAGCAATATTATGTTGTTGTTATTAAAAAAAATCTTAAGTGTGGCATAATGTCCATTTAACCATCGAACTTTAATAAAGTGCATTGATTTTGTGCATATGGATGTATGCAATTATCCAAGAACACAGCACAGTAGGGTATATTTTACTCAGTAGGCTCATATCTATAATAAATAAGTCAAAGTGATTTGCTGCTCAAGTGAGAATCGAGGTACGGTGTTCATCTCCTGTCCACAGCCCCGAGCCAGTGGAATTAATTCCACGTTCTTATGGTGGGGGCAAGTATATTGACCCCAGAGAGATGATGAGCCTAGTCAACTACCAACCACCATTTAAACTCGTAACCTTTCAAATTTGGAGCCGTTCGCTCGACTGATGAGCCACCTGTCTATTAATGGATATGCATAACATTCCCTGCATGGTTTTTAATGTTGTGTTCTCTCTCTCAGGCATCTCCCTGCACAGCAGTCCAGCTCTCTCCCAGAATTGCTGTGCTCAGCCCACTCCCAAGTGGGTCGGCCCTCATTAACAACAGCTGGCAAGCCGGTACGTGCACCCTGTACACATCCTCTCATTGCCTGTCCAATGTTAACAGTTCTGTTTGTGTACAATAAATCCATTCAACAATGAGTTGAATCTTAAAGAGCAAACCAATAGTAATTGCTTACTTTAAAGCAGCGGTTCTTAACCTGGGGTGTGCGAGACATGCCAGATTTTTTTTAGACGGTAAATCATCAAAACACAAATTAAGCACGGGCATAAGTACAACTACTTTGTTTCATCAAGCCCTATATTTTTTATTAACATTATAAAAACAATGTTACCATTGAGAACAGGTAATGGTAAAGCACCACTGCTTTCAAGGTTCAGCGTTGCCTCAAGACTCCTAAAGAGGAGCATGTGAATTAGAAAGCATGCGCAGGTCTCATTACATCATCCAACTTGTTAAAAGCGGGCTTGGGCAGGGCACGTCGCGACAAAGGGCGAGGGACGATGGCCCAGAATCATCACGGAGTGGCAACCAAGGAATGGAGCGCATCCGAGAGCAAGGCCACCGAGGAGACGGAGCGATGGTTAGATAAGTTCACGCGCAAGGTGCTGGATGGATTTCTTGCATCACAGGGTCGTGGGAGGTTGTCAGCAGCTTGGCGAGGACTTCATCCAGCAGTGGATTGATTTTGGTGGCCTAATTCATGGGTGTTGTTTCCTGGCGCAGTGCACCCATGGCATTTTATTTACAAAACCACATTGTTTCCATGAAGACCAAGCTTCGCCCATATACAGCTTTTAATCTAATTTAAAAGGTTAAATAAACACAACTGAAAGCGTTTAGAAACACAAGAGAATTCTGGAACGTACCCTTTATGTACGTTGAACCTCTTTCACACCGTACGCATCCAACCGTGCTAATTGGAGGTGCACTCTAATGCTGCAGTAGTTACAGCACTTAAAATGGGATTGCCTGTGGCGTGATATTTCTGTGTAGCATGGAGACGCAGCTAACCATAAACCGGCATCACTTTGCACTGGTTCAAGTTATTTTCGTTAGGATGTGATTTATAAAAAAAAAATCCATATTTTTAAAGTGTTTTATGGACGCGACCACGGAGAGAGAGGCATGCAGACTCTAAATATGTAGACGTCAGGGTCTGGATAGAACCCACAACCTCCTTCATACCCACGACCTAGATTGAAAACGCATTTCTTTAGAACTGGTATATCCACGCAGGTCATTGTGAGAACACACTGCAATTGTCAAGTCATCATTGACACCACACATCGCCATAACTTCATTTTTAACGTGCTAGATCTCTCAGCACTTCAGTGTTCAACACCTGCACACCAAGGTGTGTTATTGGCATTGATCCCAAGCTCCGCCCATCATGTATGTTGAACTTCTTTCGCACAGTACATAGCCAACCGTGCGAATCGGAGGTGCGCGGGGATGGACAGCAAACTCAACAATACGAGCGAAAGATATCTACACGTTGAGATGTCAGCTCTTGCAATGATGTTTGAAAACCACGCTCACAACCAGACATGCTCAAACAAACAAAACAGGGCAAACGATTCCGATGAAGCTGCGTTGTGTGCAAGAGTAAGAGAAATCGGAGAGCACATATTTCAGGTCGAAAGGGCACGTGATGCAGCGGTGTGGCCAAAATCAAATCAGGCTGCTGTTGACTTCCACTGCTGATGCTGACACACCACACAATATACTTGATACTTGTTGTTTTGCGCTGAGCTTGCTTAGATGATGGCCAGACCAGGATGAGGTATCTATTGCTAATGGTGTGAATAGATTGGAAGCAACCCTATATTATTAGGATTGTAACAAGTTACATGAAGCTCGGTATGCATGTACAAACTGCTCCCCATTGTGGATGCATGTTCACGCACGCAATACAATCTGAAGCGTCCCATTTTTTTCGTATGCAATAATGAAACCTCAATGAAGCCTTTATTCACTATAACTTCCACAAGGTGGCATGCAATACCAACAAACTGATGGAAAATCTACGAATTGGCTTGAGCCATCTGCCACGTTGGTCTTTGAGCCAATGGCCCAAAAATGGTTTCGTGGTACCACCCTGGATGGCAAATGCGAACAATATGTATTGTTTAATCTATATATAACAGATATGTATGAGTACAATGTCACAGTGGTAGCTTTTTAGAATGTTTCTTTTTTATTATCAAGGAAGGGTACCATAATGTGAAAGAAAATATAATTTTGTAAGTACTAAAATATAATGTGATATGAAACATCCATGGAATATGAAAATACATGCAAAGCGTGTTTATTAAACAGACTTCTATTTGCACTAAGATGTTTTGTTCATGGTGGACAATGGTTGCAGGTGCTACCAATCAATCTCTTTGGCTCATGGGCAATGGTGATCTATCTCCGTGCACCAGACACTTACGTTTCTTGGCCCCAACATGAGCCCTCTTTTCCCCAAAGCACCTCGACGAAACTATGGGTGGCACGTGAAGTGGTGAAGGCTCACTGACAATGAGGTCATGGAAGTGATCCAGGTGTTATAGCTAACATGCTGGGTTGATTGTCAGATGACCAAGCCTTCGTGCCCGCCTATGCAATCTCGTTCTCAGTTATTCGCCAAATGCACTGACCATCTTCGTGGGCTATTGCACCTCTGCCTCCTGTCGTGGAAGGAGGATGGCCACTAGCATAATTTATGAGCCTCCACCACACACACACAAAGTAAAATCCAACACAGCTGGTACCAGAAAGTGTGTAACAAATAATCTGATCGCTTATTCTGATAATGATAACAGAGTCTAAGAAATACTGTCGACAGGCACGGGCGTGCATTGGCGCTTAAAATCCATGCTTACACAATCTCAAAAGTGTACCTTTTCATTCTATTTTTTTACTCATGTACGTCTGTGTTTTACGCAAAAATACATACTCAATCATGCAGTATTGCATTATTATTTTTCTCATGGTTCTCAGTCTGTGGCCGGTGGATGTTTCGTTTTATTAGACTCTGCATAATGTTGTTTTTAAGAGGAGGTTGTCCCAACTTTCAAACGTATTAAATAATTTAATTCCTATTTGAATATGAGTCGGCCCCAGCGAAGACCCCGGGCCGGCCCAGGACACGCTGGCAGGACTGTGTTACTTAGCTGGCCTGGGAACGCCTAGGAATTCCCCAGGAAGAGCTAGAGTCTGTGTATAGTAATGTAGTGTATAATAGTGTATAATGTAGTGTAGTAGTGTATATTAATGTAGTGCTGGAGTCTGTCGCCAGGTAAAGGGAAGTCTGGACCGCCACTACTCAACAAATGCTGCTGTCGCGACCTTCGCCAAGACAAGCTGACTAAGACACGAACGAAACGAAATGAACGAATGAAAGCAAATTGTCACGATGTCTCATTTCGTGCTGCCAAGCATTTTGAAAGCGTCCTGCAACTCCTCAGCTGATTCCGCCATTCACACGAACAAGCCCACGCAAGAGAGATACATTCTGGGTGCAAAACTAAGCGGGGGGGGGTGGTGGACAAAATGCTTGCGATGACTCACATTGTTGAATGCACTCAACCTTTCAGCAGGGGTGTTACCCATCGGTGCGTGGAGATTGCCAGAGCTTGAATCGCTATCCGATGACACAGCCACACACTCAACAACAACAGTGCAAGCGCATACATTTGCCACTGTCTAATGGGGGCTGTGTGATGCATCCGTCAACCATGCCGCGTCATATTTAGGCTGCTATTCAAACAATTGCATCAACAAAGTAAACGCAATGGCCATGTGTACTGGATTCCAAGAAATGTGCCCAACCACACGTGACATTCGCCTCATCTTAAATCTCCCAGTGCAAGGCTTATTTCAGTAGCGCAGAACCACAGAGAAGATGATAATCCACCCAAGTGATCATTTGAGGGTGGGGGCAATTACGACCTTTCACTATCTCAGTACAAAACATATTTTCGCATACGTTCTTTCCATCATATTGCTTACATTAAAACATCAGGAGACATATATTTTTATCATTTAATTTGTATCAGAACCTATGACATACAAAGAGATGGCGCCTATCATCTACCTCTCTGGCCTCTCTCTTTACGTGCTGTCAAGTAGGGTCATTGCACAGCCCAGCATCTCACCGGTTAGTTTACAAGAAGGCCGGCGTGTCTCCGTTAGTTTACAGGGCATGGTGGAACTCCAATCACACCCTGAAGGTGCCGAGACTGCTGGGCGAGCGGCTCCCTCCCAAATTTCCACGATCGTGTAAGGCCACGGGGACGTTCAGCAGCCCATATTTTGTAGTCAGAGTCTTCTCTTTTGCTTCAAATTGAACGGGGTGTCCGTGGGAAAAGAATCCATGACTCGGGACAGCCTGGCACAACCCAGCGCACTTCACTGGCACGCACGCTCAGTGGCCGTGGCATAGGTGTCGATTGTGCATGCGGTTCGTGGACCGGGTGGGCCCAGGTGCTGGGCTATTAAGAGGGGGAGCAGACAGGGAGGGGTGGGGGCATTTAATTCCCTTGCACCAGGACCCATGCCAGCCACGTAACGCCACTGCTCAGTGGCATGGATTTATTAATTCACTTCGCGTGGATGTTTTATTTATGGCAAATGGTTAATTTGGCACAGATTATGATCGGTTTTTTTCCAATAAGGAGTATCATTCGATATGTATCATTCACCAAGAGAAAATACATTTCCACACTGATTAAAAAAATGCTCAGGATTTTATTGGCTAATTATTTTAATTATTTTTTGAAGATAACATGCCAGCGATTGCCCATGAACATTTGAAACATTTTCTGTTTATTGGTTACGAAGATCCTTGATCTATTTCTTGAAATTTCCATTACCATAATTTACATATATATGAATGCACATACAATGGCGTTTGTGCGAAGTGAAAATATGTGTTAGTTTATTTGTTGAATCAATATACAGAAATATTTGTACATGTACATTGCGCTAAATTAAGAGGTAATATATAAGTGAGTATGAGAGAATGTACCGACAAATAGTATAGGCATTCGTTGAATATATGTAAAGA